TGTTTTACAAATCGCTGACTGAATTTGTAAAACACGGACTGGACTGGACTGGACTGGACCGGGAAAACACGGACTGAGTCCGTGTTTTACAAATCGCGAACTAAGATTTGTAAAACGCGGACTGAGTCCGTGTTTTACAAATCGCGTGCTGCGATTTGTAAAAGGCGGACTCATTTCTTGAATGCACTAAGGATGAACGGTCGCATTAGAGTATTGTCTATTCTCATAACAAAGTTCAATGTTTTTACCGAGAAAATTCAATGTTTTTGATGATCATTTATGATCATTTGGTGGTTTCAAAGCTTGGATCTGGTTGTTCAACAGATTAATATCAGATCAGAACCTGTCAAGTGCTCTTGACAAACATCGAAGATTCTCACGCGAATAGGCAATGTTTTTTATCAACGACCGTTCATCCAACAAGCGACGGTACATGGACTCAATCCTGTACTGACTCAGTCGTAAAAGTTTTGGCGGGAATTGCACTCAGTCGTGAGAGTTTTTTGGCGGGAATTGCGGATATTAATAGGTCGGTCAAGGAATAATCATATCCTGGACCTAAGGTTGGTAAATTTACTATTATTTATTTATTGTTTTGAATAAATCAAAGATTTTAAATGATAGAATGTTGAGTTAATTAAGTAATTTACAGGGCTTTCAGAGGGAATTTATAGAATTTATATTGGTCCGAAAATATTAAAGGGGAAGTCAAGTCCGTAATGTAAACAAACGGTTTGTTTACATTTTGAACTGCTGTATTTTTTAAAATATGATGTACTGTCTGAATATCTAACACCATTTTGGTTCGTTATGCTTCTACATGAATATGAAATAGAGTTTGTGTTCAGAAAAATTCGAAACATTCAAAATTTGGGCAATGTTTACCTCAGAGGGCCCTCTATTGTTATGCGCAGAACCGATGCGCAGAACGGACTTGACTTCCCCTTTAAGGGTTAAGCAATGTTTTAACAGGAATTGGCAGACACCCCCCGAATTAAAAGGGGCTAGTTTCGCCCTTGGATATAGCTCTTATAGCAGATACCATTTAGTGTTACTCATAATTAGACTTAAAATAGAGTTAATTTGTTTATTTTGCGTTCGTGGCGAAGAGTTTTCAAACGTTTTCACCCGTTTTCAAAATTACGTGATCAAGGACGAAAATGCATGCTAGAGTTGACATGTCAGTTTTATGTCATTCGGTCACGAAGTAAACTTTGAGTTTTGCGGTTCCTTGTCGATGTATATGCTTTGTATGCTTTATATAAACAGGCTTACAATGATTTCAAGATACTTTTTAGTGGGAATTATTGCAAAATTTAAGCATCACCGTTCTAGCGCGCGTGTGTTTTATACTAAAACCAGCTATATTCCAAGATAAATTGCAACCACGAGGTTGGATAAATAGTTATTTTTCAAACTTTAAAAGTTATTCACGACACATATTTCTGTTGTGATGGTTTGTATTGTGCTTGTATCTAACTCATTTTTGTTCAGTTTTGGTATTAAATACGGTTTATAAAATGTCTTTTGACAGTTTGTTTACGTTTGCTATTTTTAGCAGTTTTTGTGACATAAAAGTAAAGAGTATTTTTCAGGGAGCTAGGTCGCGGAATTCCGAAAACGGGTGTAAAAGGGTGTCTATAAATTTGCGAGAAATATGCGAAATGAATACTATAATCGAATAACGATTTTTAGAAACTTCCTCGTATGACAACAATAAAAGTTAATAGACTGTTTTGATGTTTTGATGGCCTGCAAGAGTTTCCCTGTTTAATAACACAAATATTTAAAAGGCAAATTCGATTAGAGTATTCATTTCATATTTCTCGCAAATTTGTAGACACCTTTATTTAATACGCCCTCTTCGCCACGAACACAAAATAAACGAATTAACTCTATTTTCTTCTAATTATGATTACACTAAATGGTATCTGCTATAAGAGCTAGCTTATATCTATACAGGCATACAACTGTTTATGAAACGGCCACATTTGATATACGCACAAGTTTCCTCGACAATAATGGCACAAAGTCCCACATGGCTGAGCGTGTTCCAAAGATTGAACGCTGTTCATCAGTTTATTCAAAACAATAAATAATAGTAATTTGTACCAACCTTAGGTCCAGGATATGATTATTCCTTGACCGACCTATTAATATCCGCAATTCCCGCCAAAACTCTCACGACTGAGTGCAATTCCCGCCAAAACTTTTGCGACTGAGTCAGTACAGGATTGAGTCCATGTACCGTCGCTTGTTGGATGAACGGTCGTTGATAAAAACATTGCCTATTCGCGTGAGAATCTTCGATGTTTGTCAAGAGCACTTGACAGGTTTTGATCTGATATTAATCTGTTGAACAACCAGATCCAAGCTTTGAAACCACCAAATGATCATAAATGATCATCAAAAACATTGAAGTTTCTCGGTAAAAACATTGAACTTTGTCATAAGAATAGACAATACTTTACTGCGACCGTTCATCCTTAGTGCATTCAGTAAATGAGTCCGCCTTTTACAAATTCCAGCCCGCGATTTGTAAAACACGGACTCAGTCCGCGTTTTACAAATCTTAGTTCGCGATTTGTAAAACACGGACTCAGTCCGTGTTTTCCCGGTCCAGTCCAGTCCGTGTTTTACAAATTCAGTCCGCGATTTGTAAAACACGGACTCAGTCCGCGTTTTCCCGGTCCAGTCCAGTCCAGTCTGGTCCAGTCCAGTCCAGTCCGTCTTTTACAACATGCCGCTTTATTGACTATACACTAAAACAAATTGTTTTGAGTTCAGTTCACATAGCAGTCTCTTAATTCGTGCAACAGTTTAATAACTATTATTTTTAACACTTGAATAATTCAAACTTATATATGGCGAACGAAAACTGCAAACTATATAAATAAAGCGTGTCTATTTTCGACTCATTCTCAACATGCAGGATACGCTGTTACCAGGGCCTTTTTTAAGGATTTTCCCGTGGGGGGGCATTTTTGAAAAGGGACCTTTCTGTGAGATAATATATTAGAGGGGGATAGCAATGGCTGAAGGCCACGTGTGTGGCCAACATACCACGCATGAATGGGGGGTCTGGGGGAGTACTCCCCCAGAAAATTTTTGAAATTTGAATCCCGGAAATGTCATTTCCTGCATTCTGAGCATCCAAATTTGCTCCAAAATTTATGCTAACTATACTTGTATTTGAAATAAATAAAGGAAAAAACGCACAAAAAGTAAAAAAATAACCATCATTTATCATTACTTATTAGAGGCCAGGATAGCAATGGTCAGGTGTGTGGGGGTGTACTCCACCAGAAAATTTTTGAAATTTGAAGCACGGAAATGCCATTTCCTGCATTCTGAGCATCCAAATTTGCTCTAAAATTTATGCTAACTATACTTGTATTTGAAATAAAAGATGGACAAAATGCACAAAAAGTAAAAAAGAATATTAACTGTAATTTATCATTACTTATTAGAGGGATAATCCCCAGAAAATTTTTGAAATTTGAAACCCGGAAATGCTATTTCCTGCATTCTGAGCATCCAAAAAATAAAAAAATTATTAACAATAATTTATCATTACTTAGTGGTAGAAAAAAGTAACAATTTAAATCGATTTTGTAAACAAGGACAAAGGATAAAGCCTAAAACTTACTTTCCGTTTATGTATTTGTTAATCTTCGCTGGTTTGTTTGTATAATTTTAGGGAAAAGGGACTTTTCCTGGGGGGGCAAAATGTGATTTCGTGGGGGGGCACAAGGGGGGACTGGGGGGGCATTTGCCCCCCCAGCTTGTATGTTAAAAAAGGCCCTGGCTGTTACAGCGAGTTAATAGTTTTTGGTGGCCATGCATGCAAAAGTGGGCCGCTTATTTTGCTTACAAGTTACGTGGACGTATAATTATTGCTGTTACATAAACGTTCCGGTGTTCAAGAGCTGCATATATATAGCCGATAAAAATTGCGTGCTCATTATAATCGCCGATCACATGGCTTTATCACAGTCTCAAACCTTCAGACACAAAATAAATAATAAGACCAGAAGTCTCACCGCGCATGTCGCCTCGCGCATCTTGGCCACAGAATAGGAAGTTATACCAGAAGCGTAACTCGAGCAAATATTTGTCCACGTTTTTACAAGCGATTCGTCATCAATCACGCCATCCTGGCTAGTACAACCGGCACTTTGTACCTACCAAATCCTGATAAAAACTTCCGGCTGTACTAGCCAGGATGGCGTGGCCTGACGTGAGCGAGTTAAAATTTTCGTGGACGTCAAACAATAAGGGAAACGACTAGAGTTACGCTTCTGGTATAACTTCCTATTCTGTGTCTTGGCCGTGTCTCGTTTCCAGTGCCCAAAACAAGTGTAATTTGACAAATTTACATGTAAACATTAAGGAGTGAGGAAGTTAAAACGATACCAATCGAGTTTTAGAGCTTTGGTGACCATTTTAAAAGAATATATGATAAATCCAAAGGTAAGTCTATCGTATTGCATTGTCTTAAATGAATTCTCAGCTAAAATACGGCAATAAATGGATCATAAACTTAGCTAAATTTACTGTTGACAACGAGGTTGACAGATCCATTGCTTTTTTGCCTTGAATAGCTTTACCATAGTCATTTTACCTTAAAATGTAGCTACCGAGGATATCTCTAAGAATTTTACACAGATTATTTGCAAAATCTCACGATTTAATCATGCTGATAACATGATAATCCTTGTGCCATTCTATACTTGGCATAATCTCTACATCAATAGTTCACCAGTTCACTAATATAAATTCAATATATTTTTGAACCAGTCCATATATTATTATACACAATGTAGTATAGTTAATTTGACCATATTTGAGAAGTAAGGGTGTATTTCATTACACAGACACTGCTGAATTTTAGGTTACATGCCATTGGATTGATATATAAGAAACACTTGTGAAACACACACATTATCTTGTCGATAGAATAGTTATTTGCAGTATACTAACTGTTGGCATACTCTATTTCAGGGCTATCAATTGTTTTTGTCACTGGCAGTCTTTGAAATACAATCTTGCTCTGTGGCCTTTACTGACAAGTTGGCTTTTACTACATATGTGGCACTGACACTTCTTTAATTAATGCACCAGTCAATGTAAACCCCCCAACCAGGGAGGCGCAGGGATTTTGACTTGGAGGGGTAGTAAAAAAGCGAAATTGTCCCCGCCCCCAGGGACGTCAATGTCCCCTGCATGTCTCTTAACCCCAGGAAAATAGTTTTGTATAATCATAGATCAGCAATAGAAAATCAAATTCATTTATGTTGTTGTATTTAAACTTTTCTTGTCAAGAAAACTAAAACAGCAACACAGGATATATATTTTAACCACTGTCCAAGTCTCCCATCATCGGGGACAAATTTATAATCAAAACTGACCACTTTCCCCGTTAAACCTTACGCCCCTCCCCGGTTGGGGGCAGGGATTTACATTGACTGGTGCATAACTAGATGATTGCATGAAGCATTGCATGGAAGTTGATTTATAATTAGTTTATGAATAAACTCACACTTTCATTATAATGGTTCAGGGCTGCAAATAAATATTTGATTTGACAGGACATTTGTCCGATCACTTTTAATTTTGGTCGGACATAACTTGAATTGGGTCGGACAAAAACCAACATCACTAAATTTGGTCGGACATACATGTCACAAGATATATAGAAGTCACAAGACAAGTATGTATGCCATTCTGGCGCAACGTTAAGTAAAAGTAAATGCGAGAACGCCTCGTAAATTTTATTGCAAAATGCAAATTGAGTGAATTTGCAATTGGATTTTGTCACAACAAAAAAATGTATGTGACAATTTTTTTTATGTGATTGGACTAATGTCCAATCAAAATTACTTTTACTCGGACATTTGCCAAATTTAGTCGGACATTGTCCGATGTCCGACAGTAATTTGCAGCCCTGATGGTTGATCGAATATATCAAATGCATTTGATTGGTTGATGGTCCCTTAATGGTAATGGTAGTCAAATCTCAACCTATATAAATAATGTCAATATACTGGAAAAGTATCAAATTAAATTTTAATTGTCAATGTTGTGGGAAGTAAATAAATCAAACAATTCTGCTTGTTTCAACTAAACTAGTTCACTATCACTTTGGTTTTCAAATCAAAGAATCTTTAGCCTGGTTGAGCTTTTGAAAAAGTAGCTGCTTGATTGAACGCAAGATTATTTTACTCTGTCTAACGCCAGACAATTTCACTTGTCAAGGGGAAAGTGCTGCCACTCAGTGAACTCAATCAGAGCTCAATGGGCAGCAGCACTCTCCCTCAAGTAAAATCATCTGGCATTAGATGAAGTGAAATAAACTAGTAAAGTAGGGTGCATTGGGGCACAATGCAGCTTACTGGGTGAACTGGAAAATATATTTATTAAACAATATACACCCTATACTTGTATTTCAATTCACAGCATGATTTAGTATGCTTATGTCTATTTGACCCAAGTACCTGATAGGAATGATATTTGAATCACACCTGTATTCATTGAACAAAGCTAATTTAAATGTACATTAATTGTACATGAACCATGTAAATGTAAAAACTAGCTAGAGCAAAAACACACCCACACAGCTTTGTTTTTTTATTTTTCTTGAGAAGGAATAACTGAGACTACTGAGTTACAATGAGAGTCACTACAGAAACTGTATTCTGTGATATAGATGATATTGCTTTAAAGAAACTTGCAGCTTTTAGCAGTTGTGTAAGGGCCTGTTTATATCGAAACTGGCTGGCCCGCTAAGTGAGACAGCCCGGTAAGTGAGATCTCGCTGTCTAGTTATTTTTATAGTACAAATTATCATTTCTATGGACAAGCGGGCAGGCCCGGTTGCCAAGACCAGGATGGAAATTTCTCCACATAAACAATCATAAGCAGGCTAGCCCGGTTGCCGGGATGAAAGTTCAAAGATACTGCCGCAAGCTATTTTTAACAACTGTCAAAATAATGTCAAAACAACAAAATTGTCCTGGTAAGCGGAATGAAATTTTCTCAAATAAACACAAGAGAAATCATCCTGCTTACTTACCTTACCGGGCTGTCTTGCTAAGCGGGCCAGCCCGGCTTCCATACAAACAGGCCCGAACAGTCTCTGTCAGGCAATTACAATGTTCTAATGTCCAAACTCTAAAGTATTATAAACAAGCAGAACAGACCACTTATTGCAAGTTGCTAGTATTAAGTCATATCAACATGTGATCTCGACAATATACAGTGTATAAACTAAAGTAATTCCGCTTCTACACATGAAGCGACTTTAAACACTATCCTTACACTTTATCAATTCATTGAAGTTTGTACTTAAAAGACATTCTATTTGTAGTATTAAATCATAAGACATATTCTATTTGTAGTATCAAGTCACATCAGGATTTTATAATCTAGCGTCTTTGGATCCAAGTGATCTAGAGTTCTATCTTGTTAAAACCTATCCAAGGAAAAACAAGAAAGGGATATTGAAGTAATGGTGTTTTTGAGCCAAATAAATTCGAATATCCACAAGTATAAAAGCAGAACTCAGTATATACCGGAGACAAAATGGCATCATAGCGAACACATTTTAATGATGCTCAAATTTATATTCAGTGCGCTATATTTTTAAAAATATGACCCTGTTTGCTTTCTAAATACAACAAAATTACTGCTTTACCTTCTGTTCAAATAGTTCCACAGATAAACCGAAGTCACAATTCGTACTACTTGAAAAAAAAGCTGTTTTTACTGTAGAAATGACAACTTCCCAATATAATTTTCTATTGTCAACACTGCATTACACTTGTTTAGCTCGCGCATGCGCAGTATAAAAGATGGGACATGTTTCCGCTTGAGTAAGACTTCTGGTCCTATTATCTATTCTGTGCTTCAGACAAACATATCCACATTCCTCTCCCCCCCTTCGGACATCCTAAGACATTTTTCCTCTCCCCCCCTTCGGACATCCTAAGACATTTTTCCTCCCTCCCCCTTCGGACAGCAAAAATTTCCTCCGTGGGGGGGTATGGATCTTTTCTGGAACGACCCATTACATTTTTTGCTGCCGAAATAAGGAATGGGAAAATCCGGATTTACTAACAATTTGACTTATCTCATTGTATATATATATTGCATGCACTTTGTTCTGTTATTTAATTTGGTATAATTGTGATTCAAATAGCCAACCGTAAGTTACCTTTATGAGAGAGATTTACGATTGTATATGTATGTAAAGAAAAACTTTTAATAAAGTTTCCATTATTGTCCTCGTCCTCCGAATGCTCGTTTTGCCTTAAACCTGAATCTTTGTTACACGTTGTTGCTGGCTGCAGTTCCTACCTTGATCGATTTACTTGGAGACACGACTTAATCCTAAATTTTATTGCTAATAACCTCCCGTCAGAACATATTCAGACCATTTATGCTGACTTACCATCATTCTCTAATCCCTCTATTATTACTGGTGATACTATCGTCCTGATCTACTAATTTTGACCAAAGACAATTGTCTGTATGTACTTGAACTAACCGTTGGATATGAGACTAACCTAAAGAATAATGTACAGTGCAAATACTCAAAATATAAAGAGATGATCATGGAACAAAAGAAAAAATTCCATCCGGTAAAGTTCATTAATCTCTCAATCAGTGCACTCGGTGTTTTTGAAAATGAATCTTTTGCTTTTATACAAATGTTGGAACATTTGAACTCAGATAAGGCCGGTGTTAAATATATAATTAGGAAAATCATTAATATGGCAATAAGAACGACATATTACGTTTTCTGTTCTAGAAACAAGGACTGGTCGAATCCAGACTTAATGAACTTCTAGCTAGTCTCTTACTTTTTGTATCATAGAATTATGTCTATGTGTAGTGTAATAGTGTGTCAAGTAGCCAATTGTAAATTACCTTTAACAGTGAGATTTGCAATTGTAAGTGCATAAAAAATTCAATAAAGTTTTCATTATTATTATTGTTATTATTATTATTATTATTATTATTATTATTATTATAAAGGTAACTATTTCTATAAATAATCAACAATTTTGTATGTAAAATTATAACCATGCATGTATAAGTGATTCAAGTAGTCAATTGTAGGTTACCTCAAGAAGTGAGATTTACAATTGTATATATCTATAAATGTTCTATTAATTAATAAAGTTTTCATTTTTATTATTATCATTATCAAATGGCTCTCTCTATGTGGTCGAGCTCACTGTTGACTATGAGACAAACCTCGAGAACAACGTTAAACGAAAAAAAGCCAAATATAGAGAACTAGTAAGACAGCTAGATGAAAATTTTAACGAAGTAAACTTTGTTAATCTTTCCATGAGCTCCCTAGGTATTTTTGCGCAAGAATACTCTACATTCTTAGAAATGTTAGGAAATGTTGGTCTCGACAAAAACTACCAAACTTACTGTGTTAGGAAAATTATGACTATTGCCATTCGAAGTACTTATTACATTTTCTGCTGTCGAAATAAGGAATGGGAAAGTCCGGACTTGTTAACTATTTGAAATATTTGATTGTCTTGTATATTTATATATTTTCATGTATTCAGTTTTGTCATTATTATTAGTTCATAGTTGTGATTCAAATAGCCAATAGTGAGATCTACAATTGTATATATATAGACTTTTTTCTTGTCCATCCTGTTGTATGGTTGATACATTGACTTACTTCTGCAGTTTGGTATTGCTATATAAAGTTTTGAGACTTCAATATTTTAATTCAAAACGTTTTAAAGCGAAATGGCTATAGAATCGATTTTAAATACAGATATATTGATACGTGATAGAGATTGGATTCGATTTTTTGGATCAGAAATCCTCAGAAAACTTATATTTTGTCCCCCAAGGGTGGGGCATTTGCGTCAATGTAAGTCCCCAAGCGTGGGGATTTTGTTGCTTTATTTGGACCCCATACTGGGGCATTTGCAACGTTTTTTCGCCAAAATGACAAAAGCCCGACAAACGCCCGGGGGGGGGGGGTGTCGGGCACCCATGGAATTGATTGAGACATAATACTTGATGTAATCGGTCACTGAAAATCCCTAATGGGGAGTGAGCTGATGAATAATATAACGTAATGTAACCCAATCATGCGCAAGTAACACCGCGGGAAAATGTCTGCGTAGCATGTATAATTTTCGGTATAAGGGTATGATTTACTCTTACCGATTTAAGCGTGTGCAAATGTTTAACTCTTTTACAGTTTGCTAACTTTTGTGTCTTAAGTTCGGTATTCGACAATTTTTCAAGAAATGTTCACACGCTTCCCGGTCTAAAACCGATAATTTTTAATTTAAATTCTGTTTTCATTTAGGTTTTCAATGTTATAAAACTTTTTATTAATGTCTAAACTACCTGTCTAGTGTATTTTTTGTTTCATAATTGTTTATTTCACTTGCCTTAAATAAATTACAAATAAATACAGGACACTTGCATGCAACACCTAAACTAACGACATGACTAACGTCCCGTTTTATATACTATATTTCCCGAAGCACGCCTAATCAATGCAGAGTGTTTTTCTCTTTGCCCTTGCTCTTCCTTTATCACTTTACATTGCAATTCCACCACGTATATTAGTTAGAATTTATTATTAGATATGCGCAGTAAAAGTGCGCAATGCAAAACTGATGAATCACCTTATATAGAAAAAGAGATTTCGCAATTACGTTTTCTCAATAAAGTTTTAACTTTTTTCCCTATAACAAAATTAATGCTCAAGATTGTAACTATACATATTATCTTCTACTTTGACAAAATAGGAAAACTTACTGATGATCTGCTTTCTTATTTCGACCAGTGTGAGCAAAATAAGAATGACAACTATAACAAGTCTCCAGACATTGGACTTTAGAGGAATATACAAATCTCTTCCGTGTTTTGGCAAGGTAACTGCAAGCACCGTCCACAATATTGTGTAGATTAAATTCAAAACCAGGTCTAGAATCGCGCCCCATTTGCCGTACATTTGCCACTTCACCCCAATCAGGCGTCGCATGACGGGATGCATGATGATGTCATATCTCTCATTCTGGACAGCTATCTCAAGAGGAGTTCGAGCATGCGTTTGCTCTTCTTGTAACTTTGTTCCTTCCAGATAGTTGAGAAAATAAAATTCTTTACGATTGATTGTGTCCACTGAATGAAACTGATCCATTGCATCCAAAGCTACTTCAGGAATCTTTTCAATAAGAAGAGACAAAGCCGAGTTTCCCAAGTTGTCATACACACCAGCTGGAGCGCCTTCTGTAATCAGGAGTTTGGCAGCTTTAGAACGATTCATTTCTGCAGCTACCTATGATGTAGAAAATATCAATATTAGTAATTATACAATTTCAAAGTTTGGATTAAAGGTATGGAACATTTAAAAAAAAAAGGTAGTCAGTTTAATGAGTATACCATTAATTTCCGAAAAAAGATGCAAGATTCAATAGTCAATGATTGTATAACGCTCAATGCTACAGTTATAGTCGTACAATGGAGGAAAATATCACGTAACGGTTTTGCCTTATCTAGTTCGCGATGGGCTTTATAGAGTATAAAAAGAGAATGTCTATTCCACTGATTATTTTTAGGGAATAACACAACTAAACATTTTTGTATGCATTTTACATGGAACCAGCGAGCACATGACAACCCTGTAATAATCCTGTACCTGTAGTGGTGTTCTGTTTTTGCTGTCACGTGCGTCAATATCTGCTCCATATCCTAGCAACATTTGAATAGAGTTGATAGCGTCATTTTTAGCAGCAAAATGCATCGCAGTCTGTCCTTCACCAGTCGTTTTAATTTCAATATCAGCTCCATTTTGCTCAAGAAATTCTACCATTTCTGCATAATCTACTGCCGCAGCAACGTGAAGTGGTGATCGACCATACTGATCTTGCTGGTTCACATTTGCACCTTAAAAATCAAGGTACATCTATTTAATATTCATGCATATATTTTTTTAAATCTTAAATTAGTATTCTTTATATTTTATTGCTTAATATATTGCATGAATTAATGTATTCGAATATTTCAGCACTTCCTATATATACAATTGAAACCTACATTTGATGTACATAACCATAGTAGCCTATGCGTAGACTATAGTGTTCGTACCATTGTTAATGAGGAATTTTGCGACATCGACGTTCCAAGATCTCGCTACTTCATGAAACACAGTCTGACCTGTCTTGTCTGCACTGTGCACATCTGCACCATTTTTCAGTAAAGATTCAACGAAATCAAAATCAAATGTATCTTTTGTGCTGTTGGAGTTTGCTAATGATGCAAGGTAATGGAGTAGAGCGCGGTTTCTGACATTCTGAGCTTCTCTTCCCTCGACCATCTCACTTTCACCAAGTTCACCTTCAAGTACCGCGTGCATTGGTTCATTTGCTCGACTAGTACCTAGAAAATAATAGTATCATCCGAATGGTCAGAACCACTTTGAGATGTGGCATGACTCAGACTTTGTACTTTCATTTTCTGTTCATATTTATACTGACCTGGTCTCTATTGATAAGTTAAAACAGAAGCTTTTGTATATGTTACGTAACACGCGCTCAAAACTAATGATTATACTTTTCCACTTGCATGGTTTTGCCGACTATATTTAAAATATTTAATTTTTGATACGTTTCTCAAGCGGCAAACAAAATTAAAAAGTATGTTTATTGCTTTATCTGTAAAATTACTAAAATGAAGAGATTTTCGACCGTACGCCAAAGAAAAAATGAAGTCTGAAGTTCAGTAAGTTTTGCTTATATTGCCGTATAAATATGGCGTCAATTTTACAGCATCAATGATAATTCAGTATTTAAATTGACAGCATTTAATTATTATTTTGTGTTTCTCAACCGCCAGATACATTTAAAAAAGTTGCTAACTGTGTAAGCTACAAAATAAAGCTAAAACCAAGTTATTTGAGAGGAACGCCAAAAATATATTAGGTTTCGATCTCTTCATCGCAAATACGTGACATTAAATTGAAATACTGAATTGCTTCCTACGCAATTTCCCCAATATCTACAGCTCAACTTTTATCACCACATTTTCCAGTAAATGACTTCCTTAAGGAACCAAGGGCAAGAGAGGGAAGGAAAAAGTCAGGGAAATGGGAAGGATGGACGGGTCTGGCCATGACTATATGACAGTTCAAATAATACCCAGACACTATATACGACTACAAGTTGGTATAATCACCACAAGTTGGTAATTTTGTTCACATTGGCCTTTGTAGGCATTAGGCAGCGATCAAAGAATAATTTTTCTGTGAATCAGGTTATTTTGAGGGGGCTTAGCCCCCCACATTTATTCCTGCATGGCGGGGGGGGGGGGGGGCATATGCCCCCTAAGAACCTTAAAATGTTCAAGTCTCAGTTAATTGCTGAACCCAATGGCAATGAATCAACTGGAATAGCCAGTTCATTGTCATTGCATGCACAGGTCAGACAGGTGCAAAGTGAAATTTATCTTTGTTTTGATCACGTTCGACAGAGCGCGCCAAACCCTTCTGTCCTCTTAAAATTTGTCATTTTTGGTAATAAATATTTAAGATAAAGTGCATTTGCATGTTTATTACTCTCATGTAAAATTAAACATACTTAACAAAAGTCATTAATTTAAGTTCTTAACAGATGTGTAGGTACTGAATTTTCATTAAATTATGTTGTCTTTGAATATTGGATATAGCTGTAGCGTTCGTTTCTGTTCACGCACGTCAAAGCTCGTATATATATATATATATATATATATATATATATATATATATATATATATATATATATATATATATATATATATATATATATATATATATATATATATATATATATATATATATATATATGCGCCCGATTTACAATTAAATACCTATCAACCAACATGACATAGAATATAAGATAATATTTAGTACAGAATTCCGGAACTCTATAGGCCTGGAGTAGTATAAGTGCATTTTCCTATAATTTTAACCGTACTGAGACTGAGTACAGAGTACAGTACATTGACATTGAACATACTAGATGTTGACGCCGTTTTAACTTTTCCTTGTATTTATATCAGTGATGCACAACATGCTTGTATTTTGTTAGTTTGTTTTTCAAAGTTTTAGTAGTATCCTACGTTCCTAACCTGGCATGTCTTTCAATAGCATTTCTTCAAAAAGTTTTTTCTTTTCCATACATTGGTTTCGCCTCGGATCTAACAGTATCGCATCGTCATCTCCATGACCATTAGCCATCTTTAAATTCTAGTTAGAAAAACAGATATGTGCATGCAGCCCAGGATGATATCAAGGATATAGCCAATAGCCATGACAACTCATGCGTCATGGTCATGCACTACTTGGTTTACATGCTAACCATTTCTTAGGCCTGTTTTATACGTCGAATTTCGGTAGAAAAACAATAGATAATGAAGCTTAATGAGGTTTATTATCTCATCTATTGTCTTAATTGCATTCGACGCGACCAAAATTCGACTTATAAAACAGGCCTTAACTATAATTTGACTTAAGGTGGCTCTGTGCAATTTTTTGAAATAGGGAATATTCTTTATGAGTTAGATCATGCATAGACTTTTGAAGAAATGTTGCTGGTTAGAAAACAAAAATTGTACGAATTATATAGAGCAACATTCTAAGAGTCGAAAACTTGTCAAAAAGGTTACGTCACTGCTGTTGCTATGGTAACAATGACGATTCAATATGTCGATATTTTCGCTTTTAACACACTTTACTGAAGAAAACATCTGGTTACCCCTATTTTTAATTCATAAAACCGGTCATCTAGTATAATAGGTTATCTGAATGAGTTTAGAAAAACTCAATGGAGCCAAAAAATTTTAATTTTGAAAAATTATTTTTATTAATTTTTAAGAAATTTAGTTCTACAGAATTTCTTTTTGACAATTTTTGTTTCCTCGCCAGTAACAGTTCTTAAATGAATACGTCTAATCTAACTCGTAAAATTTCCTTCTTTTCAGGAAATTGTAGGGCGACCGTAAGACATTTTAGTGTCGTAAATGTACGGTATACCATAATTGATTCTACTCTCATGCACTGCAATGTTTAACATTGCTAAACGATTTTTGCTTATATTGCACCTATATAGTTTCCACTTTTACAAGCTCATGCATGACACCGAAAACTTAAATATGACAATGAGTTTGATTTGAAGAATATATTTTATCTGCTAAATTAACAAAAGAACTAGTTTACTCAGTATATTCTTCGTAACAATATTTTTATATGTAATCATTTCTTGTATCACTAATATATTTTCAACCCTAAGTAATTTCTACAGGAAAAATTGACACGATACATGCTTACCTAATAATATCCACAATTTCAGTTAAACTGATGAGATGTTGACAAGAGTATATATAGTCTTTGCACTGCACGCTGCTGTATACTAACTGCCGATACTCAGCTAACGCGGTTTACATAGATAGCCTATGTTTGACGTTTAGCATTGCCATTGGTAACAAGTGTGCATGCAGTTCAAGAGTTTGAGAGACACCTATATATAGTCAGGTTTATTGATGAGTATACAAATATTGTACCGACCTATACGCATGTCGGATTAAGCTGCGCGTATGTCGCCCAACAACACCTGCATGTGATCGCCGTAGTATATACTTGGGTTTGTACAAACGAAAATAAGCCGTTGTTTAAATTTGTTGAAAATTTGAAGAAAGTCCCAGCTTAATCAGTAGCTTACAATACAGCTGGGCTATAACTGTTGGCTTGCAAATCTTAACAGTACAGCGCTTCCTTCATGTTCGAACGGTTTCTTTTCACTTATATAAATGACAAGGGGCCATATAAAAGACTTGACACTGAGGGTAGCGGCTATTCACTGGATAGTGGTTTTTTCAACCGTTTCAAAAATACTTAAAAAGCCATAAAATGATAAAAAGAAACTTCAATTTATAAATACTAAAGTTTGATGTGGATTATTACCAAACAACGGGTTATTTTAGGAAGCTTGAACCGCCTCCGCAAGCCGTAATGATTCCCTAAATTCGTAATGCAGAGTATGCCCGTTGGCAGGTTGGAGATTGAAATTTAAAAGGCCCGCGGAGGAGGTGGGTGTATTGATAAACTATTTTATTTAATGAGGGCAAGACCTGAAATTTGTATGCTTATGATTCTTATGTGGCTGCATGGCATTGCAATACTGGACATAGTAGAGTGCGGTGCCCTGGACACTGTGGAGTGCGGTGCCCTGGACACTGTGGAGTGCGGTGCCCTGGACACTGTGGAGTGCGGTGCTCTGGACACTGTGGAGTGCGGTGCCCTGGACACTGTGGAGTGCGGTGCTCTGGACACTGTGGAGTGCGGTGCCCTGGACACTGTGGAGTGCGGTGCCCTGGACACTGTGGAGTGCGGTGCCCTGGACACTGTGGAGTGCGGTGCTCTGGACACTGTGGAGTGCGGTGCTCTGGACACTGTGGAGTGCGGTGCCCTGGACACTGTGGAGTGCGGTGCCCTGGACACTGTGGAGTGCGGTGCTCTGGACACTGTGGAGTGCGGTGCCCTGGACACTGTGGAGTGCGGTGCTCTGGAGAGTGCATGGGCAAATCAATTGCACCATAAGCGCGAATACACACTATTTTTGAATAAATATCAAGCCTTACCGAACCAACAAAGTAACCGCTATTAACAAACGCACGCACCGAATATAAGGCGACGCCCGCAATCTATACATTAACCGAATGCCATATGCCAACTTCAGGGCAGAATTGGAACTAGAATGTGTTCAGAGTATCAGATCATGGATGCAAGTAGTCATTTACCTTTTCTAACTCCAATTCCAATCACGAAACGTGGAAATATATGAAAGTTCTCATTCAACTTCACTGCACTGGGATGAATACTGTGAATTTTGTTGTAGCCGGATCCGTTACTTTATTAGTCCTCTCAGAAATTTACGTTAAGTAATTGTGATATTATAATTACAACATTAGCTAGTATATCATCCTTGGATAAGCTTTCCAACTTGACCACAGCAAGTACCTACATCGACTTGGGTCACTTTCTTTTGCCGTTAGGTAGTGTTTCATAACAAAACAAAATGTTCAGGTGGTAGATTCGACTGTTCGTTAATGCATTGGTGTTAAAAGTGAAAGTGATTTGATTATGATAAAGGGCGGTTACTAACAGCATCCTCGTCTTACTTCGCAAATAAACATGATAGCTGGAGGAATCGATTATTAAAGCGCCTGTTTCATTCCGCTCCACCAAGGTGGTGTTTCTTCTTGATATTGCAATGGGCAGTTGGGCAATCTTGACTTGTAATGTTTCCTCGTTCATTGCCATCCTAAACCATTCTTCCAAACATCCGAGTAGCTAGATATTTGGAAGAATGGTTTCTTTCCTTAAACGCGAACGAGAGACACGGGTAGGCCAAAGAGTCTTTGACAGGGCCTCTTAACATATAGACTGGAGGGGGACATGTCCCCCCCCAGGCCTCTTACTGGCTCCTCCAGTCGGCAATTTTGTTCCCCCACCCAGTGAGGTCCCTATGACTACCTGCAGACTGCAGTAGGTGTGGTTGACCAGCAATCATGTATCAAAGTGTGAAAATGTTGTTAAGTTGTTAACATTTCTGAATTTGACCATCATCTGCAGGCCCGTAACTAGCTATGAGTCAACCAAGTCCGTTGACTCGGTAGGCCAGAATTTGGGGACTGAAATTTAAACATCGCCAGAACCTAAACCATGACTGAAATAATTTGCTTGTGGAACAAGGCATGAAATGGCATTTTAGGACGAAATTCTAGTTTAGTTTTTCCAAGCAAAGATACTCCAAAGAGACCACTTTATCATGCTCTTCAGTGACACTGAGAAGACGAATGCGTCGATTTCAAGTACCCCAATACATGTAATGCAGTACTGTAGAATTTGAAGTGCGGTGAATGATAATACTATACTACGCACATTTTCATTACCGCATCATCACACCATGCTGCCTAGCTTATTGGGACTGGATTACATTCGGGAGACTGTGAAATTGCAGTAATTGTGTGACTGTTTATAAGGTTAACCGGGCTTCTTGTTGAAAAACTCCTCAAAATGCTGGAACTGAGCTTCAAGAAATCCACAATTTTGGGGGAAGCATGCCCCCAGACCCATCTAGAGGCTCGCACCTTCGGTGGTCGATTCGGTTGTCTCAGAATCCTAGTTACGGCCTGATCTGCGGCATGCCCTATGACTTATACTTATTAGTTAAACCATGCATATATATGCTGGTATAACTGCAGTGAAACAGACTTGCCGGCGACTGGAACTTCTCGAGGTCCCCCGCTAAATATGTCCCCTCCAGTTACACATGCTTAAAAGAGGCCCTGGTCAGGCTGGTCTTTGAACAGCATATTGAACATTGATTAAGTATGGGCCGAACAAGAATTTAAAATAATGTTATAAGAATTGTATATATATCATCCCAAAAATCTGGAATTAATTGTTTCTGGTTGAACAAGCTACACCTGTCTGGGCCTGACCCACAAAACCGAATTCTACAGTGTTCATGGTAGACATCGAACAGATGTTTCATTCGTTTCTGGTAAAGGAAGAACACAGAGACTCTATGCTTTCTGTGGTATGAAGATATAAGTATGGAATGAAAGTCCATCTTTTTGGAAACACGTCAAAGACGACCGTTGCCACCTTTGGTGTTTACGGAAAACGGCTGAAGTATAGAAGAAGCTTGATTTGGCTCTGATGCCAAGGAATTCGTAGAAAATTACTTCTACGTCGATGACTGGTTGAAGTCTACATCCGCAATTGAGGAAGCAGTCAATCTGTTCAAACTCACCCAAGCCATGCTAGCCACCACACACTCCTTTTGGCTCCACATGAAATATTCGAACGGCCCTGGAGTAACCGCTAACCAGTGTCTTTTGTAACCTAGGTTTGAACAACACCAATGTTTGAATCCAATGATCATTAGGCGTCTCGTGCGATTTGGAAACGGACACTTTAACAATCCAAGTATATCCCTCGACAACAAACCCTTCACTAAACACGAAGTTCTTTCAGTAATAAATAGTGTTTTCGACCTCATTAGGAATTGCCGCGCGTGTACTTATACTACTAATTCAAGGGAAAAGCTTTGTAAGGTATACAGGGTGTATCAAAAAAAGCGCAATCCTCGACTGAAATGTAAATTGCTAAACAAATAATAGACGAAAACGTTAAAGTTTACATTCATTTTAAAGCGTAGCCATTCAGCTTTCTGACAGTGGGTTGTTTCTTAAATTTGACTCATTGGTTCGCGGGTAATAATACTTTACGTTATTGCGATTGGAGATCAAAAAAATTGAGATGGAATAACAAATCGTTCTCATGAAAATAACTGATTTTTTCATTAAAACAAAAAATGTTGCATTTTATTAAATGGATTGTAACAATAAGTATAATTACGGCTTTTCTTCCACTATTTGTAACTCAGTTTGAAACTTCAAATGCGATATAATTTTGGCTTGGACCATCTAAGCTGACTGACATCAACTTGCTATAATTTCTGTTTACATTACATCGCAATTCGATGACACTCTGGCTCAGACACCAGAATGTTTTGACGATTTTTAGCATTCGTTAAGCTGGTCTCTTTTAAATACTTTTAATTTGTTCTTACGTGGTTTTCCAGATGTAGTGGCGACAACATTAAAGTTTAAAGAAGAAAATTCTAACATTTAAACCGACTAAACAATAACATAGTAAACTTGCATAATTAAACAGCAACTAAAATGATAGGTTTTACTAAATCTTTTCCTGTGCAATTATTACTAGCATTGGAGACAAGGATAATAGTTTGTTTGAAAGAGAAAAGAACAGGCTTTGAAGTAAGCCTAAAAGCATTTAACTAGAGATAGTATTTCGAAAGTTATTAAGCACAAAAGATGAATTGCGTTTATTTTGATACACCCTGTATATTAACCCATTTAAGACATTTTGAAGGAACGCGAGCTTTGAAGACTGAAGACAGACCATTACCTCAAGAATGTAAACTAGCTTGGGACGAGTGATGCGCATCCTTCCCTGACTTCAAACGCTGTAAGATACCCAGTGTTTACACCTCCACAAGATCCTTCATAGAGTAGCTGTCGAACTCCATTCCTTCTGCAATTCGTCTGTCAGAAATTGCGGCAGTAACATCGGAAGATCATCTAACTCTCCCCCCTCCTCTTGTGGCACGTGTAGTTGAACCAGACTCCGTAACCTATTATTCCGACAGTAACGTAGTATTGAGGTATATCGGCAATGAAACCAGACGTTTTATGTGACCGCAGACTCTAAAGGAGTGTCGATGATGTGAGTAACCGAGCGAAACGAATCCGAAACTACTCTTTGCCCGATCGATGGTGCTATGTTTCCAAATATCATAACCATGCTGATTTAGTCGCCCAACCCGTGCGAACCTGCAATCAGGCCTAACGTGGCTATCTGATATAACGATAAAGAAGATCTGATCCCTTACAAAAAACAACACCATCAAATGATGGCAGATCTCCCAGTTGAGCGACATACCCCTGCCCCACCATTTACCTACGTTGATTTAGACGTATTTGGACCTTAGGAAATCATGACTGACAAACTAGGGGACGTTTGACGGTAATTTTTACGCGCTTGACTATCCGACGGATTCACATTGAGCTCATAGAATCTATGGACACCTCGAGTTTTATCAATGCTCTTCGAAGATTGTTTAAAATCAGAGAAGCTGCAACCCAGCCTCGGCGTGACAATGGTACTAATTCTGTTGGAGCGCGAAACGAGTTGAACGCTGCTTTAATTAAAAGAACAGGACAGGTAAAGCCGTCACCAGGTACCATTGTGGATGGGCTCTTAATACTATACATGGATCTCAGACCAGCGGCGTATGGGAACGAATGATTGGGATCTGTAGAAAAATACTGGATTCAATGCTCAAAGACTGGATTCTGGTTATTCAGTACTGGATTCAAAGGTTCTTTGCATCTCTAATACTGGCCTCTCATGTGATCCAAAAATGCCAGATATTTTTACTCCTACGTTGTTAACCAAAAAACCATTAACCTTTCATGCGACCCCAGGGACGTTCCCTCAAAAAGATCTCTGCAGGCATAACAGGCAGTGAAGACAAGTTCAACATCTGGTCTAGATGGAGGAAAGAATTTCTTCCCCTTGGGAACCGGAAACACGGAACCTAAAATAGGGGAACTTAAGCCCCGTTTACACTACACTCAATTTTTGGTACGGCACGGATAAAATTGGTACCCGTACCACTTTTTTGGTTCTTCGACTACCTATTTAGCTAAGCCCCGTTTACACTACGCTCAATTTTTGGTACCGTACCACTTTTTGGTTCTTGGACTACCTAAATAGGTAGTCCAAGAACCAAAAAAGTGGTACGGGTACCAATTTTATCCGTGCCGTACCAAAAATTGAGCGTAGTGTAAACGGGGCTTTAGTTATGCTGCCCTCGAAAGAAATTTCCAGAAACGACTGGGAACTTGCACGAGTATCTAAAACGTACCCAAGCACCGATGAAAAAGTCCGGAATTACTAGAAGTGATCACGGCAAAAGATGGTAAACAAAGAGTACTTACATTCTAACCAGTCACCGAAGTTATCTTACTAAAAACGGGGGACGAGTTGAACTCTATTAAAAACTAGAATAATTTAAGTTTCTGTCATCCTGGCCCCAAACATTAGGAGAGCAAATTGTTGTTTCGTTTGGAAGCTTGTAAATATGGTATAAATAAATCAGCATGAGCTCCACCTTTGAATTTACTATATGAGTAAATTCTTAAACACGTCCGAATTTATCATTATGATAAATTCGCGGCAAATTTTGAATTTATCATAATAATAAATTCGCGGCACCTAACACTAACCCTAACCCCAACCCCAACCCTAACCACTAACCCCTAAGGGACTGGTCATTATTTATGGCGGGGGTGGCACCGAAGAGAAAAGGGTTGGGTAAACTAAATTTTGAGTGAATAAAAGGTTGGGTAAATGAAAAACAAAACAACTCAAGGGTTGGGTAATAAAAAGTTATTGTCATTTTTAAAGCATGACTCACTTAAATATTGGAGACTGAAAAGCAATGTCAACAGTCGTATGTCAATACAATATGTAAATCAATCAGAGTCACTATCTTGATCATTTTCCGATTTGTTGGGAGACAAATGGTGTCTCCAAAGAAAGTACATGTACATACAACATGAAAGTTTAGTTATCAAACTTGTGTCACAGAAGTGGTAAAGGACATGTGTGACAACTGAATGGTATCCTTTTGTAAAGGTTTTGGCAAGGGGTGGGTATTTATTTTTTAATTGATATTTGAGGTTTGGTAATCAAATTTTTTGCTTTATAATGGTTGGGTCAGCAAAATTTTTACCAGGAAAAACATTTCTCTTCGGTGCCACCCCCCACCATAAATAATGACCGGTCCCTAACCCCTAACCCTAACCCCTAACCGCTAACCCCTAACCCTCATTTTTTTAACTTTTTAAATTTTTTTAACTTTTTTAAAAATCTAACTTTTTAAACTTTTCAAAACTCTTTTAAAACTTTTTAAAACTTTTTTAAAAACTATTTTTTAAAAAAACATGAAAAACTTCCCACCCCTCCTCGACCACCCTCAGTGGCGTGCTGGCAGGGGGGGCCGGGGGGCCACGGCCCCCCCAGCTGGCAATTTTTGGGGGGCGCAAAAATGAAAAGGGGGCGCCGATCCCGCGCCAAATTTTGAAAGTAGGTGGGAAGAAACGCATTCGAAAAAATATAGTTACTAATTCCGCCAAGGGAAGATGTGTTTATAGACTTATAAACATACTAAGCGCATAGGCGACAAAGTGAGTATATTAAATTGCAGACTATTTTGTCTAACCGTATTTGCTACCTCACGACTCACACGAAATCACTCGTTCATATAGAATACATGATCAGTGATCACACGCAATGTCTCATTACCGGAATATTGATCAGGCTTCGAAGCGATCACGGGAATTATGCCCTTTTTTGCTGGTATTATACCCTTTTATTATGCCCTTTATTATGCTTCACGAATCACGAGAGCGGCGCAAATTAGATAGTTGAAGTTATGATAATGTAAAGTTGTGTACGCAATTTAGTTGTTTGCGCAAGAAACATTATGAGTAATGTAAGTAATGAGATAATGATGAAACACGCCCTTCTAGCAGGAAAGGAAACCTTAAAATGCATATGCGTTGGGTCCGTGTGTTATCGTATAAAAGAGCTGTAAGTTGTAAATGTATTCAGATCAGTAGAGAATAGAAATGGGATTAGATTAATTGCTGGAAGTAGTTAGCATTGCCCAATTTAAGTGCTACTACTAAATTCTAACCAATTTTAAAATTTCGACACGTTGTAATGCCGTTTCCTGACCATCAGATTTCTGTCAAATCTTCCCCCAAAGTCCAGGAAATGGCAGTTCAGAGACTCTAAATTCAAAAATTTTCCTGGGGGGCATGCCCCCGGACCCCCCTAGACAAACCTCGCACCTGCGGCGCTCGGCTCGTGCCTTCGGCCCTCGTTTATCAAGGGTAATATTATAGGGGCGCATATTAGTTGCCAGCCGACTGGCCCCCCCAGAAAAATAGTACCCAGCACGCCACTGACCACCCTCCCTTTTGGTGCCATTACATTTATAACAAGAAACCTTGTGCAATGATTGTGGTTTTATGATTAACTTTATTGATAAATTCAAAATGTGCCGCGAATTTATCATAATGATAAATTCGGACGTGTTTAAGAATTTACTCATATAGTAAATTCAAAGGTGGAGCTCATGTTGAAATAAATTGGTTATTTGAAACCGTGGTTGTACTGATGATGAAGGGGCCTTAGGTCCCGAACTCCGAAGGATCTGAATATACGTACTTCAATATTCGTGGGAGCTAAGGCTTGCAATCAATTAGTAGAAGAAAGAATAAAATAAACTGCATTACACGTAAGTTATGAAATATTAATGTAATTACTTTTTTTCTTCAAAAATGGAAAGGATATTTAGGACTGCGTGTAAGTGACAGTTAAATAATCAATGTTTTAATCGACTACACATATGTTTTAATCTTTAAAATTGAAAAGGAGTTTTGACGATTTAAAAATATTGAAGGCGATGATGAATAAGAAAGCAGATAATTGAAGAAAGAAAAATATATACACGTCTACTTTTGTCTTTTTCCTTGTATTCGAACTTTCGACAAATTTTGCAAATATTTCGTTTCCGATTGTATTTGTTGGAAAATGAGAGCGCAAATGTCAATATTAAGCGCATGATCAGAACAAAGAAACTAATATTATGAAAATATTTTCCTATACTGATCATGTTTAATTTTCATTATTGTGCATTTGTCTATATTCCAGCTGTAATTTACGTTAGATACTATAGTGTTAATTAAAGTTCGGCGTTACGCCAAGCGGTTATGACAATCAGTGAAGTTTATACTTGTATCCAATTTCAGGATACTATAGAGAATAATATTTTATATATGCAAGACAAAATGATTCATTGTCTATAATAGAATCAACGGTAATTTGGAGAATCTTAAGCTATAGTTTACATAGCTTATAAAAATGGAGTACTTTGACATGTAATCTTATACTCAGCAACACAAGAACGCATAAATGAAACCACAACGATTCAAATAAATATTATCTGTTCGTTAGGAAAATTGTCAATTTTGATGAAGGTATTTAAAATAGTTAATTACCAAAATTGGAGTGAACGGAAAGAAATGTTGTTTTGATAGGCAGTGACTTATTAGAACCCCAGGGGATTGAAATTCTATGTCAATATATTCTATTTTCGAATTCATTAGCATACGCAATATTAAGTTTACATAATTGCATTTAATCTGTTTAATAATGAAATGCTTTCAATAAGGAATAATTTAAAAAGCGCATGTGCACATATCGTTTGTCTTGAGAGTATTTATATTGTATCACACGTCTGCCATCATTGTCAACGATTCTTGTAGTGAGCATAAAGTTGACGTTAACCATGGCTTTTCCAACATATATCAAAGATGAAGGTGATATGGATTTCGGTACAGAGTGCCCAATATTCCCAACGAATTGTCGTTACAAAGTCGCTTCAGTTACTATTAACGGCAAAAGCATTACAACGTTATTGACAGAAGATGAAGAATTGTTATGCTTCCCTCAACTGGTCGATTACTTCTTGAAAGACCATGTTGCGGGCATGCCAACTATCTATGCTAAAGTAAAGCGAATGGGTATCATTGCAAGAAGCTGCAATCTTGATCAAGTTCGACTCATGCGAAGTATGGGAGCTATAGGACCGGTTGTAAACCGCTGTAAACTTATCACTATGGAAGATTTCAAGAGACTTTACGAAGATTGTCTCTTGTTTAGGTATGTGAAGTTTGACTGTTTGCACTTAGCCTGATTTCACGCATGACTTACAGGTCATAAATAAGCGGCCGCCGTGACCGACTGCGCGTCTTTCATGTCTTTTGTGTTGTCTTCCGAAATTATAAACATTATAAAGACTTTAGACATATTGAATATTATATTTGATTCAGATAATATTGTCTTTTCATTTTCCCTTTCTGCTAATCAATCTTGAAAACATATTTGCGGCAATGTGATTGAAAATTGACACTGAATTCCAACTTATTTTTTGTTTGTTCCTGATGTTATACTCTGGTTTGAGAAAACAGAATTAAGTTTACATTGTCAAAACTTTATTATTAAAAACGGCGGGCTACCATTCAGCAATGTCCGTGGTTTGCGATTTAGTTATACCCCATGCATTGACAAAACTGAATCCGGCAAAGGCAAAGAACGAACGTTTTTTAATATAAATATTTCATTCTAAGGACTCGTATCGCCATATGTCACATATTTTGCCATATTTAATATTGAACTACATTCTAGCCGCTTAAAATATGTATCGTGTTACAATGCATTATTTAACTTCAAAATGACAAATGGAAATTTATGATTTATTGAGGTAATTAGGTTTCGCGCTCGTCGGCACTCGATCTCAAAATATGCGACAACTGTTTTTTGGCAAAATTGACTCAAAAGCGGGAGCGACAAGGCTATATATAATGTCTTCATGATAAATGACGATTTATTTATTATCAAAGCGGTTAGGTTATATTGGTTAAAGCTTTTTAATGTCAAGCAGATGTGAATGGTTAGTTAGGGAAAAAGCTGGTCCAGCGATCAAAAATGTTCGGTGTTCTACCAACTTCTACGCAATTTGAATATTTATACTTGAAAGGCTTTACTGTCGATGATTTTTAATATCCTCCCAGCCGCTGTTGACAAATATTTGAAAAGTGCTTTATTATTGTGGTGAAGAGAATTAATAAATATCTTCATGCTAATTGGCTTTGTTATATATAGAAATATTTTGCATGATTATAATCTATATAATGGAATGTTTTTTTCATCTTACTTCTGTCTGTTCATATTTTATATTTCTGACAGGAGAAACCCTGAAAGTAGCTTTGAAGTTGTGCATGAAAATCGCAATAGAAAGGTCTTTAAGTTCTCATTGTATACACGAGAGAAATTTATTTGAAGTATCGGCCATCATTTAATGACGGCAAAAATAAAGTATTAATGGCTTTGACGCAGGTGAAGGGTCAGCTTGTGGCGCCTCACTGGCACGTTCCTGTTATTCCTTCCATCTTAAGAAAGTTAATTTAATTTTTTTCTGTCGCTTTTCAAAAATACTGATTCGGTGAATAGACAAAAATGAACAAACAAACCAGAGCGAAAATATCACTTATTGACTTAGAGTATACTGTCTCAAACGAGGTCTCAAAAGGTTTAGCCGAGACGCTTCCCAGAGATAAAGTTAATATATTTATTGTGTCAAAGATGCCGATAGTCTATTTTTCGAGGCATGTGATTTATTGTGAATGTGATAATGATTTATTCATTCATTAAAATGCCTTTTTGTCGAGGAAACTAATTGCCGACTATCGCCATAGTCGATACCTTCTAATGAGGAATTAATCTTTGTCGCATTGAAAAATATGCATTCTTTCGAAAAGAAAAGTTATGATTAAGTAGCCATGTGATTCATAAAACTCGTTTCAACCAGGCCACATTCCGGCTGGATAAAATTTTTATTCCGCCTTTAATAAAATACTAAACATGCAGCCTTGCAGGTTCTTATCATATTTTTAAATAAATGAATTTGTGTTGTTGTTTTGTGGGTTTGTTTCCTTTTATATCCAACACAGTAATTGTCCCTGTTTACGATATAATTTTATTTGGTTGAAACTTCCCAAAAACTCCTTTGTGTTTTTCCGGAGAAGCATGCCCGAGGACCCCGCCCCTACATGTTTCTCGTGCCTTTGGCACTCGCTGTCTCGTATCTACCACGCACAACCGGACCACTTTCAATTAGTTGGTGCATGGCCACGGTTCTGCTGCATGGGATACTCTATAACTATATAGGCACACATGTATCAGGACTTTTAGTTTTGCATATTATTTGAACACTACTCAGTACTGTATATAATTAAATGATACCAAAACTGCATGACAAAAGGAAAATGTCTTGATTCTAATATACCAAGAGAACTATATTTGGCAGCTGCCTGATTATTTGCATGTAAAATAATTATATAGTTAGATTTCAAACTAACATTATCAACAACGACGTTAATGAGAGAACTATACACATATGGTGGTTAATAAAGAAAGGTAGAAGTTTCCAAGTGATTTTTTTACCAGGAAATGTTATTAGATACACAGTATATATATTAAGTTTCTCAGTGTTTTTAGAGACGGAGTGGGACGTTTGCTGGGACGGGACGGGTAATGGCGATATTTCTGTCATATTTATCACGTTCCGTTCATAAGTTCATGTGCACAGGTGAAAACGCACAAGTTGTAACAAATTCCTTCAGCATATTTGTGACAACGCTATTCCAACAACTTGTCAACAGGATGTGTTCGCACCGCTTGTGCCCAGCTGTTGTTGACAACTTGTTACAAGGTTGTTGGGCTCAACAGACTTGTTATACAAGTTGTTCCAACAACTTGTTATCGTCCTGCAATTCAACAGTTTGCCAACAACAAGTTATAAATTCAAATTGATGATATAATGCATGATAAAATAACAGCGTTGTTACAACTTGTTGACAAGCTTGTAACAAGCCTGTTGCGGACACATCTTGTTGACAAGTTGTGAGATTTTTACGTGTGTATATGGGATCCAGATTTCGACAACCGATATCCTGTCTCAGACTAGTCTCTAGACTCTAGTCCTCTGTGCACGCACTTATTTCCCGTGACATCACCAAGTGAAATGCGCGCTGCAGCTACAGAACGCCAGCCTCCTCGACAGGCCCTGATGCCTCATAGGAAGTCATATCTTCTAGACTGACTCGTTCCCAGTCGCTCGCGTTGGATAACGCCTAACCCGCGAACGGGCATATTCTCCCGTACTAAAATATAACGAGGGACTGTGGAAGAGTCCGTCTTCTAGAGGACACAGAAAAATATCTATATTGTGTAAAGAGCCTGCAGATCTTGTAAACAAAGTTGTGTCATACACTCTTGTTGCTCACGCCATAACCTACGCGATAATTTGTCAGACTGTCTGTGCCAGTGTCCTGTAGATATAGCGACGATAACAAGCAGGGGCGAAACTAGCCCCTTTTAATTGAATTGCCCTGCGAAAGAATTGCCCTGCGAAAGTCGATGATGCCCTGCAGCAAAATTTTTTTTTGGCCACTATTTCTCCCAAAAATGTTGGCGAGCGGAGGGGGGAGGTCGAAAATTTTTTTTCCGGACATTTAAAAAAGGGGCGAAAAATTTTTTCCGGACATAAACCAATTAAATTAAGGGTCAAAAAAATTTTTTCGGACAAATTCCTGTTAAAACATGCATGAAACCCTTATTTTTTTACCAATATCTGTAAAATTTAGGTCTATAAATTCTATTCAATTCCCTCTGGAAGCTACTTAATAACTCTACATTCTATCATTTAAAATCATTCATTGCCCTGCCAATCCAGATGATTTGCCCTGCCAATCCAGATGATTTGTACTTGGGGGGGGGGGGGTCACACTCCCCACATCCCCCTCAAGTTTCGTCCCTGATAACAAGACAGCTGCGGCCGGTAGCGTGAAAGCTAATGACGTTTCGAGCGAAGGCTCTTTGTCGGAAGTTTTAGCCTCCCGACGAAGGGCTTGGCTCGAAACGTCGAAGTTCTACTTTTATTCTTCAGGTAGATCATGTAGATGTATTTCTCTCAACCGCAGCTATCCCATAATTTGTCAGCATGAGTAAAACGTTTTAAGCATTTTTAAACGCTTTATTTGAGAAGTAAACCTAGTTCAAATGTTTACCCTGAAGGCTTAAAAAACTCGTAAAATATATAATGAATTCTTATGGTTGCTACGCGTATAAACGCAAATCATGTTGAATCATGTACAAGATTATGTACCACATATAGTGGAAGTTTCCATATAGCCTCACGCAATTTCAGCGCATGAAACAGCAGAAATACGCGTCCTTCAGGTTATCTCAAATCATTGAAAGTAGTATAGTTCATGACCCCTCTACAATAAAAGCTTTCAACAAGAATAAAAAACTAATATCGTTTTCATCTTTTTTCGCACCAAAGAGGACCTGGCCGCCGTAAACGTGTTCCCAGTGACTCAAGCACTAACTACACACCAGTAAAGATCACGATCAAACGTCCATATCTTGAAGACAACAATGACGGTGATGGTACGTTTACTGTTGGAAGAAAACTCGAAGAAGAAATGGTTGTTAACGTATCTTCACCAATTGGAAATCACGGCAGTTATTTTTCCAGTTCAAGTGATTTAAATAAATCAAGTGAAGGCAATGTCCTGGCATATCGTCGCAACGGCTTTTCATCTGCTGAGGATAAGTTAGGATTTCCATCCATGATCTACACCACATTTCCTCATTCAGCGCCTGGGGCAGTTACATTAACACAGTCCTTTGATAATAGACTTTCTACTACAACATCACCAAAAACAACATTGATTACACCAATCAACGGTGAAATGTCTCCCACAGACGAAACGTTTGACCATCAAGCAAAATCCGACAACCAACCACATGCAAATGACAGCACAATGATGGAAGCTGCTAGTTTAAATGATCAACGGTCAAGTGATGACCCGCTTGAAAATGGCAGTTCTCATCAAGGTTCTGTACCAACTACCCCTAACAGCACATCATCCGTCACATTAACAGGTAATTAATTCATTTATTTATTATTGGATGACACCATAGAGCATAATACCCTTCTTTTCGTGGTGGTCGAAAATTTACATAAAAAATTAGAAGTGAAAACAATAAGGAATTTGAGAGCCTATGTATATATTTACAAATCAGGTAAAATATTGACATTCAGAATTTTGAATTTTGAAATGTCGAAGAAACTATTCCTCTAAATTTGATTTTTACCATACATTCACCACCTCGTTCCAGGTTGTGTGGTCTTATAAGTACATTTGCCGAATTGTGTTGAAATATGGTTGAAAAGGGCGTAAAAATATCAAGAACGACGCATTGTTGAAAGCATGCGTATGCATGTACTTAACCTTGTTATTCTTATAGACTTCGTTTTGCCATGGTGTTTATTGTGTGATGTACTTCTATATACATTGCTTTATTGTCCGTAATAATATGTTCTTAGAATATAAATTTGAAATTATTTAGTAAATTTATTTGAAAGATGAACTAACCAAATCCAAGGGAAAAGGGACCTGGAACGAGGTTGTGAAGCTATCTTGGGAAAGGTCTATTAAAGCAATTATCTCCTCCTCATTGCTATTTCGGTTGCAGAGGTGTAGTAATGTTATATGTGAATGAAAATACATTGGTCACTGTTGATTTGTATTTTTATCAGATACATCAAAGACCAGCCCAAGTAGCACTGGAGTTGTTAAAGCCGCTGCAACCAACGTCATATTTACGCACGTTAATGGAAGTAGCTCGAACTATACCCCACGATATTCAAACCGATGTAACTCACAAGGTGGAAATCTCCCGGTCGTAACCTCCAGCAATGTAAGTAGTAAAAACTCTACTTCACTTCCTCGGATCTTGAATTTTTACCTTATTCAAATATTGCTGAGCAATTGACTTCGCATTACGCCATTGTGTGTAGAGTTTTTAAGTGAAAATATATACGTAATAGCACCATATACTAGTGAGAAAATAGCTTTAAATGGAACAGGTGAAAGTTTGAAAATGTTCCTTCATTTTGTTGGAAATCATCCTCAAGATCAGTATACATGGGCGTACCGGAAGGAAAAAATTAGGGGGGCGGAAAGAAAATTGCCCGACTTTTCGGGATTCTGCCCGACTAGTACCAAAAATTTTTTTCCGGAAAAATGATTTTGGCCCCCGTCGCCAAAAAAATTTCGGTCAGTGTACTATTTTAGGGGTCAAAAAAAATTTCCGGACAACCAATTTTTTTCCGAACATAACACAAATTTTCCAAAAATCACTAAATTTGTCAAAAAATTGAGTTCATTTTAGACAAAATTGACAGAATTTGTCCCATTTTTTTTTATTTCAGACCAAAATTGCCCGACTGTTGATCGAATATTGCCCGACTGCCCAAAAAACTGGGGGGGCTACCGCCCCCCCCCGCCCCCCGCCCGGTACGCCTATGTCAGTATATCAACTTGATTTCCATTCGTTGAATTTATCGACGAGATTATGCATGTTATTATTTTGTTTAGATGAGACAGCAGCGTGAAAGAATGACCTCATCGGGTACGTTTATATACAGGGTGTCCCAAAAACATGCCCCCGCTAAGTTGTGTGGTATTGCAACGTCAGCTTTGATAGAATCTACATATTTTTATACTAGATAAAATAATATCCTATCATTTTAATCCATTGATATTTGAATTATCAAAATAATAAACTATTTGCCTTCTAGATTCACTTAAGGTGGCGACACCAATATTTCAACTTTCAGAAATAAGGTGAAAAGTATTTCAGGCTTTTAAAAGGGGATCTGTCTACTCTTAAAGACAGGGTTTGTGGGCCCTAACATTAAAGATTTCGTTTGATATAAAAAATATTTAAAATAAGTCTGAAGCTTAGGCAGAAAAATGAAAATGCCCTTAAATTTCTGGTTTGTGGACGAAAACCTGGATAAAGAGTCGTATGAATAAGAGCAAAATAATAGTGTAAGACACATGAACAGTAATGAATTTTTAAGATACAACTTTCAAACGATGAACTTGATCGAAAGTAATTAATATGAATTCTTTAATTTTATAAAAAAAATCCTATTATTTTATCTAATTTCCATATTTGGACAAGTTAGAATGTTTGTTGGGAACGAACCCAACCGAATGTCGTTTATATATCAAATAATAATCACCACGTCATTACACTTTATTTACTCTCAAATTTAGTTTATTCTAAGCAGTACATCATGACAAATATCTTGTACATATCAAATATCCATGCATCATTCTGTCCTTGATTCTGTCCGTATTTCGACTAATATCGGTCGTAAACAAAGGTTTGCTACATAGAATTACAAATAACGTTCATTAACAACAAGTTCAAGTGTTTCAAAGTCAAAATGAAAGAAATACTTACATCTTATGGCGATTTTAAAGCAGATTACGTTTGTATATCTATCACGAATATCAATAGTTTTGATATTCGTGATTATCACCTTTATTCGTCAGCCTCCAGGAAGCACAACTTATGAATTGGACGTTTCAAAACATTGTTTTTCGTTTTCACTTCGGCGACTCTGACAAGACCATCCTTTCCAGGAAACACTTTCGTCACTCTACCAAGTAGCCAATGTCCTCGTTGAAGATTCTCGTCTACTAGGAGTACAAGATCACCAACTGCTAAATTTCGTTGTGGTGTAAGCCATTTTTGTCTTTGTTGTAAAGTTGGTAGATACTCATGTAACCACCGTTTCCAAAAATGATCGCTCAAAATTTGTGATTGTCTCCAACTCTTTCTGCTATACAAATCAGCATCGTCAAATTTTCCAGGAGGTAGAGTAATCGCTGGTCTTTGAAGTAACAGATGATTCGGAGTTAACGGCTCCATGTCCCGAGGATCGCCCGAGTTCGGGCACAGAGGTCTGGAATTGGCAATCCCTTGGGCTTCTGATAACACCGTTCTCAAGACTTCTTCTTTAACTAATGTCTTTCCTAGGATAGCCTTCAACGATTGTTTAACACCACGAATCAGTCTCTCCCACACTCCCGACATATGGGACGCTAATGGCGGGTGGAAAATCCATTCTACTCCGGTTTGTCTTAAATGCTCTTCAATCTGATTTTGATTCCACCTTTCTAAAGCTTCACGTAACTCGCGCTCTGCGCCCACGAAATTTGTACCGTTATCTGAACGCAGTTGTTTAACGCCACCCCGAATGTTTAAGAATCTTCGTAACACCATGATGAAATCATCGGTTTCCAGGGACTGGGCTAGTTCTAGATGTATGGCTCTCGAGGCCATACATACAAATATACATCCATAACGCTTGGCAGAACCCCGTCCGTGTTTTACCATAAGTGGTCCGAAAAAGTCAATGCCCGTGTTTGTAAAGGGAGGTTCGAAAGGAGTAAGGCGAACCTTAGGTAACTCTGCCATTTCTTGGGTCATCCGTACAGAGTATCTTTTCCTACACGGAATGCATTTGCTGATCACTCGTTTAATAGTCGCTCTGCCCTTAACGATCCAAAATTCTTCTCGAAGTCGAGATAACAACTGCTCTTGTCCGCAGTGTCCAAGTTGTTGGTGATTAAAACGAATTATCAAGGTTGTAACATGGTGATTCTGCGGTAAAATCATCTGATGTTTACTGTCAAACGTGCTTGGTGCTTCTGATATTCTACCAGAGACCCTTAGGAGTCCGTTCTCGCCTAGCATGGGCTTAAGCTTCACAATCGAACTCGATTTCTTCACACGTTGACCGGTTTTATCTTTTCTTTTAAGATCTTGCAATTCTTCCGGAAACGACTGGTGTTGAACAAGTGAAACAATCGTTCGTTTAGCTAAAGTCAGGTCATCCACGGTTAAAGTATTGCATTCTAAACGTTTGCCATTTTTCAACCAAGCTTTGTACTTGCATAGCCAAGCCACATATTTAAGTAGTTTCGACCAGTCCGAGTATCTTTCGAGGAGTTCATAGAGCAGAGGGCTTACAGTCGTCTGGAGGCGAGTCGCACAAGTCGTTTTCTTCCTTTTGATTTCCAGTTCGCTGTCGGGTATCTCTTGAATTGGCTCATCGGGCCATGTATCTCTGGGGTTCGAAAGGAACTCTGGACCTCTTAGCCATCGCTCTTGTTCTATGTATTGCTGAGGGTCCAAACCGCGAGAACAATCGTCCGCAGGATTCAAACTTCCTGGACAGTGCCGCCATTGACTCGGATCAGTTGATTCCCGAATTTCGTTTACTCGGTTAGCTACGTACGTTTGAAATCGTTTCGTCGTGTTGCGAATATACGACAATACTATTATACTGTCCGTCCAAAAGTACGTTTCATGTATGGTTATATCGAGCTCATCTTTAATCATCTTATTCATTCGTACAGCTAATAATGCACTTTGCAATTCGAGTCTTGGAATCGTGGGTGACCGAATGGGAGCATTTCTCGACTTTCCCATGACAAACGAACAGTTAATAGTTCCGTCGCTGTAGATGATGCGTAGGTACGACACGGTACCGTATCCAATCTCCGAGGCGTCACAAAAATGGTGTAACTCGACAACAGCATCGTCATGATCTGGAAGTCGGTAGAAACAACGAGGGATGCTTATCTGAGTCATCAATGGTAAAAGTGATTTCCAATTAATCCATGATTTCAGTAGATCGTTCTCCAGGAAATCCTCCCATTTCATCTTCCTCCTCCAACACACTTGGAGAATTTGCTTGGCAGGTAAAAGAACTGGTGCAGCAAATCCCATTGGATCATAAAAGGAGGAAACACATGAAAGCACACCTCGCATGGTATTTGGTTTGTCACAAGGTTTTATCTTGAAACAAAAGGCATCATCTTCGACGTTCCAGTGGACACCCAGCGTGCGTTCAATAGGAAGTTGGTCAAGACTTAGATCTAGGTCGGGCAAGGCTCTCCTTTCAACAGGCACTGTTTCAAGAACCCTCCGACTGTTGGACATGAATTTGGTCAATTTAAAGCCTCCACGTGAAAGCAAAGACATTGAACTCTTAGCTACTTTAATAGCAATTTCTTCATTCTTTAGGGCTCTCAACATATCATAGACGTAAAAATGTCTTAAAACAGTGTCAACGACGAGGTTATCAAATTCGCTCTTATTATCTTCGGCAGTCCTTTTAAGGCAGTAATTTGCACAGCTCGGCGAGTCTGTCGCCCCGAAAACGTGTACGGTCATAACGTATTCATCAGGTGGCTTGTCGAGACTTCCGCTCCACCAGAGAAACCGAAACGCATCCTGGTCTTCTGGAGATACCTTCCCCTGATTGAACATACCTTCAATGTCCGCCACTAGCGCAATGTTATCCTGGCGAAACCTTATAAAAACACCAACGAGACTGTTCGTATAGTCCGGGCCTTGCAATAAATTCTGATTTAGGGACGTATCTTCAAACTTTGCCGCTGCATCAAAAACGACTCTGACCTTTTCAGGCTTGTTCTTATTGATAACGTGGTGGTGAGGAAGGTAATTGGTCTTGCCAGTTTTGGCTTCAGCCTCCTCCTTTGTTAGCCTTCTAGCGAACCCCTTTTCGATGTATTCTGCCATGGTCTTTCGATACTTGGTTTCTAATTGTGGGTCGTTAAATTTCTTCTTTAAAGATTTCAGCCGTTTCTCTGCCACCATTCTGTTATTGGGCAATTGAGGACAATCGTCCTTCCACAATAATTCTGTTTCATAATGTCCGTCTACAAGTTTTGTGCTTCTTTGAAGAATATTCTCGGCTCGACGATCTTCAACTGATGCAGCCTTCCTCAAATCGTTCTCCCTCAATCCTGATGTTTCGATTTCCCAAAATTTCTCTACTTGTCGATTGAGCATCTGATTGGTGGTATCAAGAAAGTTCACTGATAACTCTTTCTGACCAGCGTTAGTCGTATTCACACTACCAGCAACAGTCCAACCAAGCGCTGTTCTGGTTGCATACAGCTCACATTCCGAGGTTTCGGATACCCTAACTTCGCGCACAATATGTGCTTCCTTTACATCTTCCCCGATGATTATAGAAATACGCTTAAGTTCGACTTCAGGCATCGTTATATCAGCCAAATGCTCATATCCTTGACAGTCAATCTCATTTGGGAGAATTCTTTCATTCATATCAAGCTCCTTCACTAGTCCTTCGCTCACTTCCAATATTGGGTCAGAATCTGCGGCTTCTGCAGCCTGAAGCAAAAGGGACACTGATTCAAATTCGCATTCCTGTGTTCCAAGCACTGTTGTAACGGCGATTGACTGTTTAGTTCCTTTCACGTTCAGTTTCTCTGCCAATTTCGCATCAACAATAGTTCCACGGCTGGCATTGTCAAGTAGTCCATATGTCGTGACCGAGTTTCCATCATTCGTTAACACTTTAACAGGTATAACGTGTAAAAGTACGTGATTTTCCTTTCCTTGCGTCATTGTCGTATAAGATGCCATCGAATCTTGTTGACTGTCCTTTCCAAATTTGGATTTGGGTGGTTCAGATCCAGCTGCCCTTTCTGGTTTCTCTTTGTCTTTGAGTGGTATTGGAGGATTCACGATCATTAGACTGAAATTTAGGGTTATCCTTTGGTGGCGAAATTCTTCCATGAAGGAGTGGGTGATGCTTGTAGGTAGCTTTACATTTACAAATGGTGGTTGATATACACTGGGCCTTCATGTGTCCCGACGCTAGGCATAAATGGCAAAGTTTTAAATTCTTTATGATTTCCCATCGCTCTTCAGGTGTTTTCTTAACAAAGGAGTCGCAGTTTGTGAGTGAGTGTTTACCCTTGCAACACGGACAAAGGCCGGAGTTTTCGAGGTTTGTTGTCAACGTCGAGATCTGATTCTGAAGTGGTGGTTTAGGTGATGGTTTCGGTAGCCTGTTCTTGGGGTCAATTGGTTTCCTCTTTGTAGTCAAAATGTGTCCATATTGGGGATCGTTCATGATTCTGAGTTGTTTTTCTACTAGCTCTAGAACATGCTGTAATGTGGGGTTCAATTTGGTCTCATCACGAATTTTCGGAAGTTTCTTTACCCACTCTATCTGCATGTGCATTGGCAAACGATCAACAACTCTTTCAACGTTAGATGATGCATTAATTTCGTGTTTGTAATTCTCATTGTCCTTTAAGACTTCTAAACAGGAACGTAAATTATTTCTGAGCCTAGCGAGAGAGTTGTTGTCTCCCCTTTCAATGCGAGGACCCACCGTGACTCGTTTTAGGGATGCTTTGACTACGCTAGAAGGATGACCATACTGAGACTCTAATATTTTCATGGCTTGACTAAAACCGTTTGATTTCAGTTCACAATGTTCAATTGCGTCTCTAGCATCACCTTCCACGAAACTGAGAAGACGAGTTATTTTTTCTCTTTCATCAAACTCTCTTTCGTTTAACCAAACCTCCACCCGCTTCTTAAAAACAGGAAACTGAGCAGGGTCACCTCTAAATTTCATTGGCTGGGGTTTCGGAATCCCTTGCCGCTGTAACATGGCTTTCATAACGGTGGTTGTTTCGGTTCCCTGCTTCATGGCACTAACCAATTGCAGATTCATTTCGAGTAATGTAGTTGTTAAATCAGGTTTAGTTTTGTCAACGCTTGGTTTAAACTCGGGTGAAGATGGCTCCGTGTCATTGCATTTCTCAGAAAGGGACGCAATCCCTTGCTTGCTATCGACCACTGATTCGGGTGGCGATTTGACTAACTCAGGCCGAGTTGAGGGGTGATCTGTCTTGTAGAAAGCTCTGTCCTGTGGTGTCGAATTTTTTACTTCTACCTTCATATTAACCCTGTTACCAGCTACAGCCTTTGATAAACTACGCATGCTTCCGCAGTCACTATATCTTTCGTCTGCCTCATCGGCTGCCAAAAGTTCGGCTTCTAACTGAGAGTACTCCGCTTGGTCCCGCAAATCTTGTAACTCACATTCTATCTGTTCTTGCATTTGTTTTTCCTTTGCTTTTGCTCTTCTCTCAGCCTGCTCTAGTTTCAACCTTGCTAATTCTGCTGAACGAGCCGCTGTCTTCACCCTAGACGACACAGAGGACCCCCCTGAACGTCTACTCTTTGACGACCTTGACATGGAAACACTACTTTGTACTGACACAGAAAGTTTATCATCATCCTTAAGGTGAAGACCATTCTCAAACTTTGAGTCTCTCTGTAAACTGCGAATGCTCTTGTTAAGTTGACCAATAGCTAGTTGATTACATTCATTTATTTTTCGTTCGAGACTTTGACGTTGGATGCTAAACGCTCCAAGTCACGCGTGTTATTAATCAGCTGAGAATAATCTTCATGTACTTTGAGGTACTTAACCCACTTTGAATGTATAGTGTCCAAAGTTTTTTCAATTTCTGTAGTCTCAATATTACTATAATCATAGATTTTTAAAGACTCTGTAGATACTTCAATAATTTGCGAAAGTTTTAATAATTCATGCTTTAGTCCTTTGGAATGTATTTCATTTAAATATTCTGCGTACTCACGCGGCACCTTCCGGGTCCGAGATGTCCTTTGTAAACCGTCGTCACTTCCGGCTTGTTGACTTCGTCGATTGCGAAGTTCGTCGAACTGTTTTGCACCGATTTCATCCATAAAAGATCAAACTATGTTGGGAACGAACCCAACCGAATGTCGTTTATATATCAAATAATAATCACCACGTCATTACACTTTATTTACTCTCAAATTTAGTTTATTCTAAGCAGTACATCATGACAAATATCTTGTACATATCAAATATCCATGTATCATTCTGTCCTCGATTCTGTCCGTATTTCGACTAATATCGGTCGTAAACAAAGGTTTGCTACATAGAATTACAAATAACGTTCATTAACAACAAGTTCAAGTGTTTCAAAGTCAAAATGAAAGAAATACTTACATCTTATGGCGATTTTAAAGCAGATTACGTTTGTATATCTATCACGAATATCAATAGTTTTCCAAAAAGCCTCGCTCGCGAGGACTGGCCCTAAATTAATTATGCTAATGTCAACAAACGGCGCGAAATAATTAGATTAATTATAGTAGCGTCCGTAACAATTAACAATATACAATTAACAATATACAACGTCACGACATAATGCAACGAATAACTACACCTAAGAATAGTTATATGATATGTGACCTTAGCAGTGACTTAAATTGACTCAGAGAGTCAGTGTTTCTGACGGAAACGTCCAAGTTGTTAAAGTCTTTCGAAGCGAAGTGGGTTGGTTTATGTTTACCCCAGTTCGTGTTGACTTTCGGGAGATGGAGGTTGTTGCACGATCTTGTGCTCTGGCAATAGATTCTACTGTTAGTTGTCAGATTGAAGTCGAAATCTCTGCGAGATGAGAGAGTTGACAATATAGATGAAAATATACGATAGATTGGATAGATGAAAATATATGAAATTGTATTAAGATAGACGTGAGCGGTACTGCACAACGCAAATCATGACAAGAAAAATGACAACCTCATTCTCAGGCTCGTGAGGAGGAAAGATCCTGGTCGGAGCTGATCACGTGGTTCCCAGATTCTAGGTGCTAAATTGAAATTGTACTTACGGAGGGGTGGTGGAGTGCGCTTGTTGCGCTTGGAAAATTACAACTTGTGTGTTATATTTTGAACATAAATCCTGAAAGATTTCGTATTTATTATGACTCGACTTCCTCTATATCATTGAGTGTTGGGTTACATTAGTAACGCGAGAAGTTGGATCAGTCTGAGAAGTTGCATTGGAGAACTTGGCAACGAAACTGTTACGAAAGGACGCTTTCGCCGTAAAATCTTCTAGACTTATCAAGCGAACGATATGGTTGTGACTGTTGTCACTGGTGTCCTTAAGATACAGGGCCAAATATTTTCCCGCTTCAAATTTCTCATCCACACCACTCGTTCAACGATACGAACTATTTAAAAATCTCTCAAAAAAAATTATCTAACATCTCTTTGTCTTGTGAACTTCACGAAACGACGAGTATATACTTTGAATAAGGCATCAGCGGAAGGCCTATAAACCACACATTTCGATACTTGAATTTTTAAACTGCATGCTGCAAAAACTCGTGACTAATGACTTTCCATTACTTCTTATACACTTCTCAACCAAATCAGTTACATTGCGACTCAGCAGCCTCACTGATACACTCGCGTGTTTTCTTCATGTCAACCGTACATGTTACACAAGTCAAGATTAGAGATTGCAGAAGTAATGGACTTAATCAACAAAATTGAATTTCCATTTGATATGAGAAAATTTTCAAAAAGAAACCAAGAGAACTATTTCGAGGACCAAATAATTTTCTGAGTGGCAATCCATCCAAACTATAAATAAGAAAAATCTGTCTTACCTTGTACTATAAGGCACAAGACGCGAATTTCCAGTTTTTAAAAACAAATAAAAGCGTTAAAGGATAAAACTTCTACAAGATATGCAGACCAAATAGCTAAAATTGCTTAAGTGGTTCCGAACATTTGAAAAACATAGAAAATATTGAAGTTAAATGAAATTGAAAATTCAAAATGAAGTGAAAAACGAAATGACGTGCAATATTGAGAGCCTGCGAACAAGCGTTTATTCCTTAAGATGTGGGATGGTAATTTACAAAGTGACGACGCCGGCTAAAACAAATAGTAAATTCAAATGTTTGTAAAGAAAGGTTATTGTATATACCATCCATTTCTCTTCTCAAATATTATCAATTTCATTATATCACTAGCCGTCAACGTCGCGTTGCCGTCCTAGATCTTAAGCTCTCTAATAAACGCCTTCTGGAATGCCTTATAATTTTCGGAGCTTTCTGATTGGAGATTTACGGTCACATCGGAACATATGATATGATCGTAGATATCTTATATACACTAGATAGCGCATCTATTTTAGTAAAATTGAAGCCAAAAATATTCCAGCGGTTACCCCCATTTGAATAGATGGCAGCCATGTTGGTCGTTCCCACTCAGTAATAAACGCTTAAAAACAATAAGTAACTTTCATCATTCGAATAGTTTAAAAATGTATTTGGAATAGGGTTAATGTTTAAGTTCCCTGTTTAAAAAATAGAAAACATACGAATCTTCTCATTTCATGGGAACGACCTGAGATTGCAATCACGGCTTCAATTTTTGAATTGCAGAATAATTAGATGGACTATCTAGTGTATAAAAGATATCTATGGACATGATTGACATTAAGTTATATAAGTATAAGTAGGAGGTCTGTGTTCATTCAGAAAAATTTGCCAAACTTTGTTAATGTTCTGAATATAATGGAGAAAATACGAAGAAGAAAAACATTAATGTTTTGGACCAATTTATATTTATTGTAGAAATAATTTGGATTTACTCCATGTGAGATTATAGGGTTTAGTTGATCTGCTAGTTCGTCTGAAGAGAGAACTATCAAAGTGTTGAAAATGCATTGAAACTCGACCAAGGTCTACTATTATAGTGTTAAAAAATCAATTTTTTTTATATATTTATATATTATATTATACTGTATGCAATGTATATACCATCGAGCATTAAATAGAATCAAATACACTGTTTTATATATTGTCAGTCGAAGTGTTCTGTGATTTTTAGTTGTTAAAAGGTGAACGCGTGGTTCAAAAGGGGTGGTTGCCAGCAGAGTTTATTTGCTAGGCCTGGGGGTTTCCTCTTCGTATCGGGGAATATACCATCACGACCCAGTGAACTCTATGTAACCTGAACGATAACCTCTTATGATAAGGCCTATGATTCGCTGGAGCCGAAATAGTTTTTCTGAGTTTTGAGCTGAAGTACTTAATGCTTACTTTACTTATGCTCTTAATCAGGCTGCTCAAATTACGCGACCGCGCGTACGAATGAGGGACTATTCTATCGCATTCCCATTAAGCACCGCGCTCCCATTGTTTTTCCACTGATCTCTATTCCTAACTGAAGCGACGAGGGACGAGGCAGCTCCAGATATATAAGTATAGCTCAGTCACAGAATAGGAAGTTATTCTACTTTTCCCTGAAATGGATATTTTTCAACATATTTAAAAACCAGTAGATACTCAGTCAGTCAAATGTCGAAGGTATTTATTTGGTTGTTTGTTTCTACTATTACATTATTTTTAACACAATGACTTGAGTATGTTGTGTATCATCTATTTCGTATCATATAGTAATAGTATATTAATTATTAAGCTTGTTAATATTGCGCTATCAATATTAGAAATAATTCTAAGAATTTTGATGGATTTGTAAGAAATGTTTGAATGAACTGACTCGGTGTTTTGGGCATTGAATTAGTTGATTTAGTTCCCGTCGGTTCTACCAACCATTTCTTACAAATCCTTCTAAACTTTACCCAGGCTGAACTTTATATACAAAATTCTGCTCTGAGTGATCAAAAGTCTGATCAAAATTCTTTTGAATTGGATCAAACACCAACATGGTGGCTGTGATGTCATATTAGCCAATTATACAAATTATAGTTCAGCTTCATAGTCTGTTGTGATTTTCTGTAATGCATTCTGTTTTTCTCTAGCTATTTATCAGCAAATACTGGGAATGATGATAAAATTAACATTTCACACTTTTTATGCATGTTAATTTATTATGCTGTAGAAGCATGAAAATATAAACAGATGTTGATCGAATAATTAACAATTATTCGCCGAAGGCGAGGTGATTATCGGGAAATATATTCATTGGGAAGAAATCGAGGTGAATGTTCCCCGATAATCACCGAGCCTGAGGCGAATAATTGTTTTAGTATAATTTTTGCACAAGTTTTTTTTGTGTTTTTCTGGTCTGAATTCATTTTAATTTCGCTTATTTCTTTATCACTATATAACTTCAACAAATCGACCAGCCGCCATTTTTAAAATTTTGATTTTGTTATGTTCACCTGTAGGTGAATATAACAGATTAATACGTCAAATTTGACCAATCACCTTGTTAGGATTTGCTATGTTCACTTGTGCAAAAATACTAAAGTTCAACATTTTGAATTATACCGAAATGTAAACAAAGGCTTTGTTTATATATACGGACTGTACCCTGCCTTTAATTAATAAAATTTATAGTTTACAACTCTTGATAGCTCCATATAGGTGGGACCTAAATATACAATAATAGTGTGATTTGCTTCCAATTAACGCATTGAGAAAAAGAACTAAATTTTATCATGCTATTTGCCTATTAATAAATTGGCATACCGATGATAATAATTACAATTTATTAATAGGCAAATAGCATGATAAAATTTAGTTCTTTTTCTCAATGCGCTAATAATTCCCTTACAAAAAAAGTCTATAGGCCTGGCCTATAGGCCAACCTATAGGTTCCTATAGGAAACCTATAGGTTTTTATAGGCAATTGGGACATTTTCTATAGGTGAACTATAGGGATGCCTATAAGCCTATAAAGATACATGCCTAAAGGCTTCTATAGGGAATTGGAACATTTCCTATAGGCCACCTATAGACTTTTTTCGTAAGGGTTTGTAGCAAAGCATAACCAGGGGCGTAGCGTGTGGGGGGTGTGGGGGGGTGTGACACCCCCCAGTTTTAGTGAGGTAGTCGGTAAAACGCTAAGTTATTCGGTAATGGCAAGAGCCATGACAGCAGTCGGTAAAACAAATCGGTTAAAGTGGAATTTTGCTTCTCGGTAAATGGCTTTTAATAATAAAAAAAATTAAATTAATGTTGTGCCTTGTTCTCCAATAAAGTTATGCAAAATGTACGTAATTCTTCAGTATTAAAACACTTATATTAAATATCTACGCATAAGCATTGGAGCCCCTAATTTCCTATCGTATTACACTTGCAAGAGCTGCGAAAACAGTCGGTTCTGATTGGACATGTTCAACTGTGCGCGAACTTTTGACCTTGATACAATGATACGCAAAAGAATTAAAGATTATATTTATATATTTGTTATTGACACGCGGTGCTCATAAAATGTTTCGCCAATTTTTCAAGTCTGTTCTTTACAATAAACAACAAGATAAATGCCTTATCGCGAAGTAACAAAGACAACAATTATTCCAATTAATAAAGCGTTTGCTACGTTTCTGGTTCTATGTTATTTCTAGACGGCTGACTAAAGTCACGGTAAGTGTCATTAAATTAAACACGCGCCGAAATATTTATTTGTCAATTGCTGTATAGCTGTTATGGTATATGTTATATGTAGCGTATAAGGGGCGGTCACGGATTCTAATAAAACCTCACGGTGAGCTCACACTCACAGTCTCACAGCTTGTTAATATCTGACGGATTCTCACGGATTTCGAAAATAACACAACTTCAACAATATGGTTTTGTTTGATATAAATAAAAGCTACCAAACCTTGTGTGTATAAGGTACAGAAGGCTCTGAAAATGCCATTTCCAACGATCTAGAGATTCCATATTTTCAAAAAATTTCCGCTCGGCGCCAACCATGGTGGTGCCTCGTGGCGCGTGGGTCGGTAAAACTTAGATGTTACACCCCCCCCCAGTTAAAAAGGTCATGCTACGCCCCTGAGCATAACCACTATACAGAAAAACAAAACAAATTACAGTAAATTACAACAGACTACACTACATAAGCGGGACACTTTTTGTATTTGAAGTGTAATAACCCTTCCAGTATATAGCCAAGCTAGTGATGTAGTATTGTGGTGTATTTGACATTTCATTAGGACAGTGAGCTATCTTATGCTACCATGGAAACTTGTGTCATTGACATAGTGGATGACCAGTGGCGCAAGGATCAATTACCTTTTGATGGTAAGATATAGTGAACATGTCATTTCTTCTACGCACAATCTTCTACCATTGTGTCGATGTCTCGCTCTAGACTGGCCTTGCAAATACCTCAGGGAAACGTTTCAAGAATGTTTTCACATTGCTTATGTTTTTCATGTCGTTTTCAAAAAATTACTCCAAAAATGGCAAATTTGGCGTTCGTGAGAAAGGCTATAATTGTATCAGTTTTGAAAAACTGTCTTGCATGGTGCTTATGTAACAGTGTCATTGTTATAGCCAGACTGTTTGGTTTGCATGTGTACCTGTGCAGAAGTTTCGGCTGAATTTCTGTCTGTGCATTTTCTGGAAACAGAATCCACATATTTTGGATAAAATTAATGCATAAATTTATGCAGGGCCGGATTAACGTCGCGCGAGGCCCGCGGCAGATTTTAGCACGAAGCCCCTCAACCCTCCCCCCCCCCCGTTATGAAAACCTTTGCAATTCAAAGACACACACAATTGTTAAATAATTGCTTTCAGTATTTCAATTGATTGGCATCAATTATAAACAATTGCCTGCCTGGCCCAGTTGCTGGGTCAACAATATAAACAGGATCATATATAACAGATCAGCGCAACTGGAGATTACATGCATACGAGTATTGTATATTTTTCTGGGGTAAACTGCCAATCCTAGGGGCCCTAAATGCGCGATGTCCCTAATTCGCGAGGCACCTAAAATGGGCGTATCCCAATAGAAAATAGGCGTGTTTTCGTAAAAATGGGCGTGGCACAGTAAAGCGCAAGGCCCCCATAAGCGCGAGGCCTGCGGCATATGCCGCATCTGCCACGTGGTTAATACGGCCCTACATTTATGGCACATCAGGGCGTATTGCCACTTAAATGATTAAAAAACTACCGAATAGTACAGATATCACTCCCAAGTTTTCTATTTTGTGTGGATTATTTTTTAGACATTCTCATTCCCGAGAGAGAATTGCCGCCAAGTGATGACACTGACAGTACGTTTTAGTGTGCTTATCATATAATAGCCTCCTGCGCAGACGTTGTTAGTGGCCGAGGCCTCAGAGGCCTCGGCCACTAACAACGTCTGCGCAGGAGGCTAATCATATAATTGCACTTAAATTTTCCTTATATGTAAAAACAAAAACTTTGGGTCATATTCAAGCCATATGTTGTTGCATTTACTAAATATTGATAATTGTTGATGTTTATATTAGATATGGATTAGTGTTGTTTTTATTAGATGTTAATAAATGTGCACTCTAATTACTAGATATTGATATTTCTGAAACCATGAGAGAACAAGATGAAAAATGGATGGACCTTGGCCTTCAAAATTTACAGGAATCACCAAGACATAATTGAATAATTGTTTTGTCGATATAGCTAGCTAGAGAAGTTATTTTGACATTGTTTATTTATTTACTGCATGTGTGGATACATTGTATGGCCTCATAGGTTTTTTTGCAGTTCACTAAAAATATATTTGACAACAATCAGTGAATCGAAGAAGAAGACATATTGTTAGCACAGCAGTTTTCTGGGAAATTGCATGTTCTTGGATAATCTGACATACTACATTGATAAAGTCAGGGTGTTCCAAAAAACCCGCAAAACCATTGAAATAACGTATTGTTAAAATTTGAATGCCCTAACACTAAGCTGAGCGCAAAGATGTGTAAAATATTGACAAGGGTGCATTTATAAATATTGACTTATTAAGAAATTAAAATATCTTTGTAAAGCGCACAATTTTCTGCTCTTGAGAATTTAAAACAGCTTCTTAAACGGTTTCTTTGTGCATAAAATTTACTTAAGCTTTGATACACGTGTGGGTTCAGCAAAGTGCTGAGGCATTCAAATTCTAACAATACGTTATTTCAATAGTTTTCTTCTTTTTTGGGGAATATTATGAGAGATATATACCCAATATTGAATTAATAATGTTTCATGATTTCAACATGATACTTATATTACTGTTTCATTGGCAGCCATATAGTTCATGCCAACACATATTTTGCACACCAGGTAAAAGACGCACATATATGAAACAAGGCGATTTTATTTGAATGAAAAAAATTTTCAATCGTTAATTGAACACAAAAGAAGAGATTCTGAGATGGCGCGTTCTTTTAACAACCAATTAATTAATGACGCAATAGAATTGCAGAAATTATTGAGCGCAGTATATTTAGATGTTGTTTCAGGTAGCATTTGCCGTATTTCTCCTATTTCAATTCTCTGAAACTATCCTTTGGAATCCGTGTCCTTCATTACGTTCTACATTTCAAGATATTTATATCGACAGCCACGGTAGAAAACGACCGAACTGTGTTTGTAAAAATGATCTGTTTGGAGAGCAATGCCAGTTTAAAGGTTAGATCTTCATTGAGATTTTGTTGCAATCTCAGATTGAATAATTATAATTGAAGTGTAAATTTTGTATTCCATCTACAAACTCTTCAAAGTGGTCTGCCCATCTAAATACACTACTAATGATAATATTTATATTATGTATTCTTTCACAGTTTATGTTGCCTTTGATGGAAAACAAAATGGCGTTAAGAAGCACCAACCAGGTAGATATTTTTAATGTAAGATGAGAGGAAGTGATAAGGGAAGATAATCAAGGTTGTCTTGCATGGCATGCTGAAAATTAAAATAATTAATGAACGTTCAAATCCAGTGTATGTAGTGATACGAACTTTCCTACATGATACGACTACCAAAAAATACAAAAGAACTCAAGCGGCCTTCGTGCGGACGATAGTAGCGAACGCAGAACGTCTCAAAGACGAAAATGAGGCGCAAGGATTTCGGATTTCGTTAGAATCTTCCGCACAATCTTATAGAACTAAGTTCCAGTTATCATCGTTTTTTTAATTTTTAGAGCACAGCATCTATCCTATTGAATACCTCCAGCTCAATTATTATCCCAATAGCTCCCTAGTGATCACTTGGCGACACGCCAAGACAGTTGATGTGCAGTATTACGTCATACAGTTCCGAGAACTGTCAGAAGGTCTAGTGAAACCTTGGAGAACACTGGCGTATATCAGATCAGAATATTTTAACAAGCAAGACTTGATGTTATTTGAACTTCGTGATTTCTATAATTATACCATGTACGAAATGAACCTTGGGATATTTAGTAATGATGACGTCATTGTCTCGGTCTCAGTCCTTCATGATGGTCTCAGTCCTTCATAAAAACAAAGTAGTTTCGCATAAATATAATTTACTCATAAAACATTATTGCATGCTCTGAACGTCACTACTTAATTCACTGTTTTGCTAATATTTTATAAGATTACAAAATAATGGTTCTTTCTTCGTCGGCGGGTTTCGTTTTTCTTCAATGTAAACGAAGTGTTTCACATGTTCTTGAAACAAAAACATTTAGTTGTCGATAAACTGTAAATTGTCTAAATAATCGTCGAAAACCATGGTTTCATAAGCGTTGCCTCAAGCTCAAGCAACGTAGAAAAAGATGAAAAGTAATTGTGTAAGGTTAAAAAGCAAGGGTGGGTTGACTACAAAATTTTTGTAGTTCGCTATAACTACAGCTACTTCAAAAATATGTAGTCAGCTACAACTATACTGCTACTTTTGAACAAAGGTAGTTCGCTACTGACTACGCAGCTACTGCTTAAAAAATGTAGCCAACTATTTCGCTATTTCGCTACTCTATATTTTTTAGTTTCATGGTATTTTAAGCATCCACTAGCTCTGGCTGTAATATAACCTATAACAAATCGACTTACGAGTAGCAACAGTAAACAAAAAGGCTCAAAGCAACATTTTTATAAACTTTTCATTGCGCTAAAATAATCTTTACTGTATAAAATAATCTTCTAAGCAAACCGTGTCTTATCATCATTCTATTCTATGGACGGTTGCTAACAATTTTAAAAAGTAGCGAATAGCGATTCACTGTTTGAAAAGTAGTCGACTATTTTGCTACTTTTGAGCAAAATGTAGTTCGCTACAACTACAACTACTGTTTTACAAAAGTAGTCAAAAACTACTGGCTACTTGAAAATTGTAGTTCGCTATATTATTATATATTATGATTATGATAACTTTATTGAAGTGTAAATAAGTTTTTAATTATAGCAATTAAAATAATACATTTTTGTTTTTTAACTTGTTTACTGCTAATAATTTTTCAAAAAAGTCAAATACACCCTTCCGGAATGTATTTCACCTTGGCTATCACAGGAGCCTCATTTTCATGTATGTGGCATGAGTTAACCAATGTCTCAATTGTGAAAATGAGTGCCAAGGTGACATCATTTCTGGAAGCATGTATTAAAATACAGTATGTCAGTTCAGTTTCCAAAGATATGTGTGGCTTGGTACTGTAACTTGCCACCGAGCTTGCCACCCAGAAAGGGGAGTGTCATTGTGGAATAAATCTGCAATAAACAAGAGTAGATTAATTATGTAGGTTGTACAAAAATCCACCAGAAACATAATTAGCATATGATCAAGGTAAACAAAAAAACCAAAAGAATGTGACCAGGGGCATAGGAACCGGGGGGGAGCAAGTTTTGGCAAGTGCCCTTTTTTCAGGAGCAAAGTGCCCTTTTTTTGCCTGAAAAATTTTCATTAAAATTGCCTTTTTTTCCCAAGAGGTACTTTTGAAAACTTCAAGCTACATTATTTCCTTCGTATTTAGGAAAAAATTGTGGAATATCCGGAAAATTTTTAAGGATGTGTCCGGAAAAATGTTTTTGCAACCTAAAATGGTACCCTGACCGAAATTTTTTTGGCGACGGGGGAGGGGGGGGGGGGGGGGGCGCCAAAA